TAGACATTACAATAACACCACTATTGATTTATTGAGCACTTACTATGTAATTAATTTTATAGTATTAGCTTATTTAATCCTACACATCACAAAGGTATAGGTACTATTAGTGTTCCTGTTTCACTGGGGAGGAAACTAAATCATGAAGAGATTAAATAACTTTGTCCAAGGTCAGACAGCTACAGAGTAGCTTAGCCAGATTCTGGTTCCAGAGCCTTTGCTCTTAACTGCCACATGCTATTTATCACTTCTACATCTGGATAGCTCTAACATGCCCGGGCCGCAGCCATCCGTTCTGGAGGGTCCAGAGTCCAGAGTTTGGGAGACTCGGGTTTAGACAACTTGACTGTCTTGCACAGCCTTAAAGACCAGGCCTTAGTAAAGACTTATTTCCAGAGCTGTGTGTCTGGAGGCAATTTGGGCTGGACTGGAATTGAGAGAGCTGGGGAGACTCTCTGTTCTCAGCAGTCATACAGGGAGGACATGGAGACCTTGGGGAGGCAGTAGCAGTTAAAGGAGGGGAGGGGCTCAGGCTAGGCCTTCAGCTGCCCTGGATCCTCCTGGGTCCACTGACCCTTCTTGCCACCCATTGTTGGTTTCTGAAAGGGTATCTCGCCGCGACCCTCCTTACCCCAGAGCGACTCAGGAGACACGGCCCATGCAAGAGATTTTATTATCTGAAAGAGAAAGTGGCTGCCCCCAGAGAGAGGGAGCAGCAGCTCGTGGGTGAGGAAGCGTGTTTTTAAGTAATAGGGGTACAGTGTGTTCGGTATTGGTGATTGGATCTTAAGGGGTGGGGGTCTTAGCGAGCCAGAATTTGCCTTCAGTTTCCTTTCTGCTTTTTGTAACACCTGGTGTTTATATGTTAGTGTAACTATATATACAGTGATTATCTCTTACTGTTTTAAAAAGCCAGTTTCACCCCAGGAGTGGCACTTTTGAATCAAAGGGCATAAGTGGTCAAGTTCAGTTCTATTTAATGAAACCAGTGAAATAGTTCTTTTTTTACCTGATTACAAGAATAGTTTATCATCAGAGTTACTAGAGGCTCTCTCAGGGTTGCGGGAAGTTATGAGGGATAAAGTCATTCAGTGCTGTTCTTCAATGTTTTACTTTTGTTTGTTTGTTTTTTGTTTTTAATTAATAGACTTTTTTTTCTTTGGTATTATTAATGTACAATTACATGAGCAACATTATCGTTATTAGACTCCCCCTATTATCAAGTCCCCACCACATACCCCATTACAGTCACTGTTCATCAGCATAGTAAGAAGCTATAGAATCACTGCTTGTCTTCTCTGTGTTATACTGCCTTCCCCATGTTCCCTCCTCCCCCCGCTATATTATGTGTGCTAATCGTAATACCCCTTTTTCCCCCTTATCCCTCCCTTCCCACCCATCCTCCCCAGTCCCTTTCCCTTTGGTAACTGTTAGTCCGTTCTTGGGTTCTGTGAGTCTGATGCTGTTTTGTTCCTTCAGTTTTTGCTTTGTTCTTATGCTCCACAGATGAGTGAAATCATTTGGTACTTGTCTTTCTCCACCTGGCTTATTTCACTGAGCATAATACCCTCTAGCTCAATCCATGTTGTTGCAAATGGTAGGATTTGTTTTCTTCTTATGGCTGAATAATATTCCACTGTGTATATGTACCACATCTTCTTTATCCATTCGTCTCCTGTTAGACACTTAGGTTGCTTCCATTTCTTGGCTATTGTAAATAGTGCTGCGATAAACATAGGGGTGCATAGGTCTTTTTCAAACTGGGCTGCTGCATTCTTAGGGTAAATTCCTAGGAGTGGAATTCCTGGGTCAGGTGGTATTTCTATTTTGAGTTTTTTGAGGAACCTCCATACTGCTTTCCACAATGGTTGAACTAATTTACATTCCCACCAGCAGTGTAGGAGGGTTCACCTTTCTCCACATTCTCGCCAACATTTGTTGTTGTTTGTCTTTTGGATGTTGACCATCCTAACTGGTATGAGGTGATATCTCATTGTGGTTTTAATTTGCAGTTCTCTGATGATTAGCGATGTGGAGCATCTTTTCATGTGTGTGTTGGCCATCTGAATTTCTGAGAGATAAGTCATTCAATGTTGTTCTTCAATGTTTTACTTTTTTATAGTAATAATAAAAAAAAATGGATTCAGCAAAGTTACCAGATACAAAATTTATAGACAGAAATCTGTTGTGTTCCTATATATTAATAATGAACTAACAGAAAGAGAAAACAGAAAAACAATTTCATTTACAAATGCATCAAAAAGAATAAAATACCTACAAATAAACATAATCAAGGAGGTGAAAGACCTGTACTCTGAACACTATAAGATACTCATGAGAGAAAAAAGACACAAATAAATGGAAATCTATTCCATGCTCATGGATAGGAAGAATAATATCATCAAAGTGACCATCCTGCTCAAAGCTATTTACAGATTCAGTGCAGTCCTTTTCAGAATACCAATGACATTTTTCAATGAACTAGAGCAAATAATCCTAAAATTCATATGGAACCACAGAAGACCCCAAATAGTCAAAGCAATCTTGAGAAAGAACAAAGTTGAGGGTGTTACACTTCCTGACTTCAGTTCTACTACAAAGCTACAGTAATCAAAACAATAGGGTAGTGGCACAAGAACAGACCCATAGATCAGTGGAACAGAATAGAGAGCCCAGAAATAAATTCACACATATATTGTGGATTTTATGTATGATAAAGGAGCCATGGATATATAATGGGAAAAAGACAGTCTTTTCAATAACTGGTGTTGGGAAAACTGGACAGCTATGTGCAAGGAAATGAGATTAGAAAGAGATTACTGTGTAACTCTGTACACAAAAATAGACTTGAAATTAAAGACCTAAATATAAGACATGAAACTCAAAACTCTTAGAAGAAAACATAGACAAATAAGCCAGGTGGAGAAAGACAAATACCATATGATTTCACTTATATGTGGAATATAAATACAAAGCAAAACAGAAGGAACAAAACAGCACTGGATTCATAGACACTAAAGTGAGTGGTGGTTACCCATGGGGGAAGGGTTGGGGTGGGAGGGCGGGGGGTTTAAAGGGGCACAAAAATCTCAGTCATAATGTAAGTTGGGTACAGGAATGGAAGTGCAGCATGGGGAATATAGTCAATGATTCTCTAACATCTGTGTTGAAATTAAAGACCTAAATGTAAGACATGAAACCATAAAACTCTTAGAAGAAAACATAGGCAAAAATCTCTTAAACGTAAGCATGAGCAATTTTTTCCTGGATACATCTCCTCAGGGAAGGGAAAGTAAATGAAAAATGAACAAGTGGGAGGGACTATATCAAACTAAAAAGCTTCCGTACAGCAGAGAGCACCATAACAGAACAAAAAGGCAACCTACAGTATGGGGGAATGTATTTATAAACGATTTCTCCAATAAGGGTATAACATCCAAATATATAAAGAACTCATACATCTCAACACCAAAAACAAGTAACGTGATTAAAAACTGGGCAGAGGACCTGGACAAACATTTATACAAAGAAGAAATACAGATGACCAACAGGCACGTGAAGAGATGCTCCATAGCACGAGTCATCAGGGAAATGTAAATCAAAACCACAATGAGATGATATTACTTCACACTAGTTAGAATGGCCACTATCCAAAAGTCAAGAAATAACAATTGCTGAGGAGGATGTGGAGAAATGGGAACCCTCCTGTACTGTTGGTGGGAATGTTGGTTGGTGTAGCCACTGTAGAAAGCAGTATGGAGGTTCCTCAAAAAACTGAAAAGAGAAATATCATACAACCCAGCAATTGCACTTCTAGGAATTTAACTGAAGAAAACAAAATCCCTAATTCAAAAAGATATGTGCACCCCTGTGTTTATCACTGCATTATTTACAATAGGCAAGATATGGACGCAAGCAAACTGCTCATCAATAGATGAATGGATAAAGAAAGGTGGTGCATATACATAAGGGACTATTATTCAGCTGTAAAAAAAACGAAAAAAATCCTGCTGTTTGCAATAACACGGATGGATCTAGAGGGTATTATGCTCAGTGAAATAGGCCAGGCAGAGAAAGACAAATGCCATATGATTTCACTTATATGTGGAATACAAATACAAAGCAAAACAGCAGTGGATTCATAGACCCCAAAGTGAGTGGTGGTTACCCATGGGGGAAGGTTTGGGGTGGAAGGGTGGGGGGTTAAAGGGGCACAAAAATCTCAATCATAATGTAAGTTGGGTACAGGAATGGAAGTGCAGCATGGAGAATATAGTCAATGATTCTCTAACATCTGTGTCGATAGTAACTGCACTAGTTGGGGTGAGGATTTAATATGGGTAACTGTTGAATCACTGTTATATACTTGAAACCAAATAATATTGCATATCAACTATACTTCAATTAAAAAAAAAACACCTGTAATACTCCTTGTCAAACATCCTAGATTATGTGGGAGGGTACAAAGTAAAAAGTGGAAGTTGCCTATAATCCCATTTTCCAGAGGTTATCATTGTTTATATTAATGTATTTCCTGCCAGATAGTTATCTACCAGTATTTTAACATGTGTATGCATTTAAAAAAAAAGAAATGGGATGATGGGCTATTTTTTAATCTGCTTATATTTGTTTATACTGCAGTGGTGAGCATCTTCCTACTCAGTAAACAAATCTCTGAAAGCATCACTTTTAATGGCTTCATATTGTTCTGTCATGCATATGCTGTTACTACATATTATCCTGCCAGTGCTCCGCTCTTGAGTACATGGGTTGCACAAGCATTTTTTTTATTAATGTTATGAAGAATACGTAGAGCATATTTGTGGAACTTGATCTTTAGGTATATCCATTATTCTGTTCTTACTCTCAGATGAAGTCTGAGAGGTGGAATTGCTGAGCAATTTCTCTTACCTTTTTTTAGGGTTTTTGATAAGTATTGCCTAATTGGAGCAGGAAAACGATTGCCATTTCTGACATGGAGTATTTGCCTGGTTTTTCAGGACAGGAAGATGCCACCCAAGCGTACAGCTAAAAGAAGGTCACCTCCAGAAGATGCCCTCCCCAAAAGCAAGAAGGTGAAAGGTAAGTTGACTGTGGCTTACATCTCTGTAAGAGTGGCCTCTTGGAGCCCCCAGAATCTAGGACTCCTTCCTCCAGGACATTTGAAGCTGAGGAGCCTGGAAGTCCAAGACCTCCACCCAGCTGGAGGATCTTGTAGCTTATTGAGTCCCACCGTCTGGGAATCTTAAAAGAGTAGAGACTTATCTAAAAGCACTCAGGCAGTACTGGCAAAAACAAACAAACAAAACTATACCCTCCGGCTTTGGCCCAGGCAGTAATACATTATGGTTAGGACCACTGACTTCCAGTCCTGGGTTCAAGTCCTGGCTCTACCACTTTCTAGCTGTATATAGCTTTGGGCCAGTCACTTCACCTCGCTAAGCTTGGATTACCTCCATACATAAATCAGAAGCAAGAACAGTACCAACCTCACCAGGCTGTTGTGAGGAAAATGAGATTATGTCCTGGTAGAAGTTGAGGGCAGTGGCTGTGGTTTCCTCTCATGGGACCCTGGAAGGAGACATGGAGGAAAGAAATACACCCCCTGTCTGGGTGGAGGGAGTATGGACCCACACTCAGACAGTGTCTGTCTTTTGCAGACCCTCGTAACCAAGCAGCAAAGGCCGCTGCCTCCCGCTGCATTCCTGGCGCCCGCTCCTGCCAAGGTGCCTGCAGGCTGAGCCCTCCTGACCAGAAAACTCAACCAGGTGGCTCCCTGCCCAGCGCACCCCCTGCGCAGTTGCAGAGGCCCTGGCAGCTGTGACCACACCCATGGGGGAGGAGTTGGACGCTATTGGCTGTCCTGGGCCACCAGCAACTTCCATTGGTCAGCAGATGGGCCTGTGCCGCCCACTGGTTGGCACATACCTGTCTGCAAATGCCAATGTCTGCTCTTACTGTTTCCCCTTCCGTTATCACTGCGTGTCTGCTCTGGAATAGGAGTGGAAAGGGGTCAATGTGAATATGTCCAGTATTTAAGTCAGCCCGAGGAGGATGGAAGCTAGGGACGGTACTTTGACCCATGTGGGCTTACTTGATTTCCATGCAAATTCTACTTGTTTGCAATATGTCCTTGGGAAGGTTACTTAACTTCTCTGAGGCTCTATTCCCTTTCCTATAAACCAGGATACTAAATATGGAAAGTCTTTAGTGTAATTTGGAGGACTACAAGGCAATTTAACATGAGTAGGGTTAAGCAGTAAGTAAAGGGTAGACATTGCCTGAGCCGCGCTGTTGGCACCATGTCCTGACCAAGAACTTACAGCTAATCAGGAAAACTTTTCTGTGTCCTCACTGTTCTTTTCCTTCCCCACAAAGATTTGTTTCACAACATTGAGTGACTTATTTCATTTCCTCCCTCTCACATTAATAATGTGCTGTTTTTGATTTTCACAAAAAACCCTCTGAGACAGGTACCTTTGCTACCCCTGACTCACAGGTGAGAAAACTTAGGCTCGGAAGAGTCATACTAACAGTCTGTGGCAGAGCAGGGGCTTGACTGAACACAGGTCTGTGTGACCTCAGAGCCCACTTAGTGACTTCTCCTCTACCGTCATCCTACACACTCAGGGGCTGTCTTCTTCACTCCTCAGTCTCGCATAGGTCCCACAGCACAGAACCAGGCTTGGTGCTGACACTGGGCCAAGGTGACGTGGGCCAGCTGGGGCTGGGTGAGAATGTGATGGAGAGGAAGAAGCCTGCCCTGGTGCCCATTCCCGAGGACATTGTGCAGGCCGAGGCTGGAGGCATGCACACTGTATGTCTAAGCAAAAGTGGCCAGGTAGGTTGGGAGGTTGGGGGGCACAGGACTGGACAGGACCTGGGGTTGGGGGGCTTGGGGAAGGAACTTTGAGCCACACACATTGCTGTATGGAGGTGAAACTGGCTAGCCAAGCAGGGAGTGGCCTGGGCAAGAACAGACTGAGAGGCCAGGCCTTGCACTAATGGGGGCATCCTGGGCACAGGTCTATTCCTTTGGCTGCAATGATGAGGGTGCCCTAGGAAGGGACACATCAGTGGACGGTTCAGAGATGGTCCCTGGGAAAGTGGAACTGCAAGAGAAGGTGATACAGGTGTCAGCGGGAGACAGTCACACAGCGGCCCTCACCGAGGATGGCCGTGTCTTCCTCTGGGGCTCCTTCCGGGTAAGACTGGGTCTGAAAGACTGCATGGAGGCTGGCTAGCAGAATTACCTGGTGGGGCTCGAAGATGATCTATCTCCATGTCCCTGTTGTACTTACTGGTGGGGAAATCTGTTGTTAGGAAGTGTGCCTCTTTGGAAAGGGGTGCATCAGAGGTGCTTTTGGACTAAGGCTGACCTAGGAATCCTGCTGTTCCCACCCATCTCCCTGCTGTCAACCTCCCCCTGCTCCTTTCTAGCCCTCTTCCACACTTCTCAGGGGTTTGGGGGGATAAAAGGGAGCAAATTGTCACAGAATTTAAGACAGAGGAGTGTAGTTTAAAAAAGCTGTTTCAGCATTAAAATCTTTTTGGTCCTTTGGTATTTAATGTATTTTGAAATGTCGAAAATAAAGCAATCTGATGAGGTATTTCATCATCAGGGCTATTTTAAAATTTTTATGGAGAATTTCAAATACCTAAAAATAATCAGAATAATATATTGAATGCCCTGATATGTATTTAACAATATATTAAATATAATATACATAGGTGAACATCTGTCTCCTCACCTCAAAGTTATCAGCTTGTGGCCAAACGTGTTTCCTCTCTACTCCCATCCACTCCCCATCTCCTTTGTTATTTTAGTGCAAATCACAGACCACATATGATTTCATTCATAAGTATTTCACTCTGTGGCCTGGCTCCTGCCCACCTCCCCATCCCCATCTGGCACCAGTGCCCTTCACCAAACAGCTCTGTGACTGCCTACAAGCCTGGATCTGGCTGATATGGAGCAGGAAGGACTGGCTGGTAAGGGCTCTGCTCCTGCCTTCTAGGACAATAATGGTGTGATTGGGCTCTTGGAGCCCATGAAGAAGAGCATGGTGCCTGTGCAAGTGCAGCTGAGTATGCCTGTGGTGAAGGTAGCCTCAGGTGAGTCTGGGCAGCTCGCTCTGGGCAGGCATGGGAGAACCTTGTTCTAGGGCTGGGCCAGTTGGGGACCTTGCAGACAAGCCCTGCTTCCCCTGCCTTCCTCTCACCCTCAGGAAATGACCATTTGGTGATGCTGACAGCTGGTGGAGATCTGTACACTTTGGGCTGCGGGGAGCAGGGCCAGCTGGGCCGTGTGCCTGAATTATTTGCCAATCGTGGTGGCCGACAGGGCCTAGGTAGGTGGCTTAGGTCCCTCTGGTAGGGCAACTTGGTAAGCCACCCCCTGGTGAAGGGCAAAGGCAGGAGGGATTCTGTGTGTGTTAAGACTTGTATCAGATAGACCTATGGTAGTTAAGAATTCTGCCTCTACAGCCACACTACCCTGGGTTTGAATCTTGATTTTCCTAACCTACTGGCTGTGGGATCCTGGACGTAAGTTTCCTCATCTCTAAACCTACCTTATTGGGTTGTTATACCGAGGATGGCCGTGTCTTCCTCTGGGGCTCCTTCCGGGTAAGACTGGGTCTGAAAGACTGCATGGAGGCTGGCTAGCAGAATTACCTGGTGGGGCTCGAAGATAATCTATCTCCATGTCCCTGTTGTACTTACTGGTGGGAAAATCTGTTGTTAGGAAGTGTGCCTCTTTGGAAAGGGGTGCATCAGAGGTGCTTTTGGACTAAGGCTGACCTAGGAATCCTGCTGTTCCCACCCATCTCCCTGCTGTCAACCTCCCCCTGCTCCTTTCTAGCCCTCTTCCACACTTCTCAGGGGTTTGGGGGGATAAAAGGGAGCAAATTGTCACAGAATTTAAGACAGAGGAGTGTAGTTTAAAAAAGCTGTTTCAGCATTAAAATCTTTTTGGTCCTTTGGTATTTAATGTATTTTGAAATGTCGAAAATAAAGCAATCTGATGAGGTATTTCATCATCAGGGCTATTTTAAAATTTTTATGGAGAATTTCAAATACCTAAAAATAATCAGAATAATATATTGAATGCCCTGATATGTATTTAACAATATATTAAATATAATATACATAGGTGAACATCTGTCTCCTCACCTCAAAGTTATCAGCTTGTGGCCAAACGTGTTTCCTCTCTACTCCCATCCACTCCCCATCTCCTTTGTTATTTTAGTGCAAATCACAGACCACATATGATTTCATTCATAAGTATTTCACTCTGTGGCCTGGCTCCTGCCCACCTCCCCATCCCCATCTGGCACCAGTGCCCTTCACCAAACAGCTCTGTGACTGCCTACAAGCCTGGATCTGGCTGATATGGAGCAGGAAGGACTGGCTGGTAAGGGCTCTGCTCCTGCCTTCTAGGACAATAATGGTGTGATTGGGCTCTTGGAGCCCATGAAGAAGAGCATGGTGCCTGTGCAAGTGCAGCTGAGTATGCCTGTGGTGAAGGTAGCCTCAGGTGAGTCTGGGCAGCTCGCTCTGGGCAGGCATGGGAGAACCTTGTTCTAGGGCTGGGCCAGTTGGGGACCTTGCAGACAAGCCCTGCTTCCCCTGCCTTCCTCTCACCCTCAGGAAATGACCATTTGGTGATGCTGACAGCTGGTGGAGATCTGTACACTTTGGGCTGCGGGGAGCAGGGCCAGCTGGGCCGTGTGCCTGAATTATTTGCCAATCGTGGTGGCCGACAGGGCCTAGGTAGGTGGCTTAGGTCCCTCTGGTAGGGCAACTTGGTAAGCCACCCCCTGGTGAAGGGCAAAGGCAGGAGGGATTCTGTGTGTGTTAAGACTTGTATCAGATAGACCTATGGTAGTTAAGAATTCTGCCTCTACAGCCACACTACCCTGGGTTTGAATCTTGATTTTCCTAACCTACTGGCTGTGGGATCCTGGACGTAAGTTTCCTCATCTCTAAACCTACCTTATTGGGTTGTTATGAAGTTAAATGATTAATGTAGCAGAATGTCTGGCACATGGTAAGTTCCATGTAAATGTTACCACATGGGAGTCTGAGTCAGGCACTTATGTTCTCTTGGCCTCAGTTTCCTCTTCTGTATAGTAGAAGAGTCCCTGCCTAGCTGCCTTCCAGAGGCTATACCAGAGGAGGAAAGCAAAACACATTGGGCAGAGGAGAGGCTGTCCGTCTGCTGCTGACTTTGGCCTTCTTCCTGCCTGCAGAACGACTCCTGGTCCCCAGGTGTGTGATGCTGAAGTCCAGGGGAAGCCGAGGCCATGTGAGGTTCCAGGATGCCTTCTGTGGCGCCTACTTCACCTTTGCTGTCTCCTGCGAGGGCCATGTGTATGGCTTTGGCCTTTCCAACTACCATCAGCTTGGTGAGTATCAAGTCAGTATCCGCATAGCCCAGAGCGACCTGGGTTCCAATCCTGGCTCCCCCCATTCATTCATGAGTGTGCCCTTGGCAGGGTCACCTAACTGCTCAGAACCACAGTCTTGTCACCTGTAAAGTGATAACATCCATACCCTTGTTGGGGAGGGCGGTGGCCTCATAATGAGAGGGGATGAAGGGCAGTGCCTTGGATACCTTACCCCCTGACAGAGCTTTCCTGGCCTTTCCCCCAGGAACCCCAGGCACAGAATCCTGCTTTATACCCCAGAACCTGACATCATTCAAGAACTCCACCAAGTCCTGGGTGGGCTTCTCTGGTGGCCAGCACCATACAGTCTGCATGGATTCAGAAGGTGGGATGTCTGGGTTGAGGGTAAAGTATTCCTTGGGTGTAAGCCTGGCCAGACTCCTTGGCCATGGTCCTTGGAACCTGGGCCTGCTCCATGGGTGGGGCCAGCTGGGGGCCTGTGAGCATCCTCGCCATCCCCCAGAGTCCTGGCAGTCTTCCACGTATGAGTCCAGTGGGCATCTGTGGGGTTCCTCCCAGCCTTTCCCTCCAACTGGAAGATTCACCACAGACCTTGTTCTTACCAAGTGGGGACTGGGGACCAACTCCTGCGGATGTGGGCACTTGCCTTGCCTACCTGCTCACACCCACTGCTGCTCCCCACCTCTCTCCCTCCCCCCACAGGGAAGGCCTACAGCCTAGGCCGGGCTGAGTACGGGCGGCTGGGCCTTGGGGAGGGTGCCGAGGAGAAGAGCACGCCTACACCCATTCCCAGGTTGCCCACCGTCTCCTCGGTGGCTTGTGGCGCCTCTGTGGGCTATGCTGTGACCAAGGATGGTGAGTAGGGCTGCCCGTACTCCCTCTGGTTGGGGTCTGGGGGCCATGATTCTTACCAAACTGCCCAGCAGGCTCTGATGTCCACTGTAAGATGGAGCTGAGATGCAGAGAGCAGGGTTTGTGGTAACATTGCCTTTCTCCTGATTGTCAGAAGCTCTGGCTTTGAGAAACATAAAATGAGTAAACTATTTTAATAGAGGTATTTTAATGTAAGTAGAGAAGAAAAACAGCAAACGGGGATATATCACTGAGGCTCAGACAGGCAGTAGGACTTGAACCCAAGTGTCCAGACTCCTAACTCAGGCTTCTTTTTACCATTTCCACCATAATGACCCCTTTATTTACAACATAGCATGAGTGAGCTTCGCAGGGAGTTGTACTTAGACTTTTATTAGGAGAAAGAAGGCTTGGTAGTTGGGATCCTGGCAAGCATGGCAGAGGAGGGTATGAACAGGTGGTCACCAGAGCCTGAGTGGGTGAATGGCACAGCCATGAGGCCTTGAGAAGTCTGGGGCGCTGCAGAGGTGCTTGGTCTGGGGTTATCTGGTAAGAGTCCTGAGGAACTAGGGCTTGTACCACACGGTGAGGTTTTAGTCATTTTATGATAAGCAAAAGAGGACGTTCCAGGCATAGGGGCATCCAGAGCAGCCTCAGAGGCAGCTGGTCCTGGGAATGGAGGGTGGTGTAGGGGTTGGGGAGTGGCCCGTCATGTAGGGCTTTGAATGCTCTGACAAGGAGCAGGGAACTGTCTTTGGCAATATGTAAGGACTGTAGTCACTGGTTGACAAAGCTCTTTTTTATCCATCCTCTTCTTGGCCCTCCCAGCTTTCCCGAACTCCCAGAAGCTGGAACATTGCTAGGCTACTACAGGCCAAGGCCAAAATTCACCCCCATGTGCCAGGCTTCTCACACTACAGAAGGGTGGGGCTAGAGATCCTGGAGACAGCTGCCCCCATTTCTCTCCCTTGTAGGTCGTGTTTTTGCCTGGGGCATGGGCACCAACTACCAGCTGGGCACAGGGCAGGAGGAGGATGCCTGGAGCCCCGTGGAGATGACAGGCAAACAGCTGGAGAACCGCGTGGTCTTATCTGTGTCCAGTGGGGGCCAACACACAGTCTTACTAGTGAAGGACAAGGAACAGAGCTGATGAAGCCTCTGAGGGCCTGGCTCCTGGCCGCCCAGTCTTCCCTCCCAGAGCAGGGAGGCCTCCCAGTGATGACTACAGATCCCAGCAGGCTTCCCCAACCCTAAGTGCTCTGTTGTCAATTTGCCCGTTTCCCATTAGCAGAGCAGACCAGAATCCTTTTCCTTTTTTTTCTTCCTCCTTTCCAGAATCATCCTGGGACCTACAGGATGAAGGGGGGATGGAAGAAGGTGGGGTGGGGTGTCAGAAAGAACTTTGCTCACCCCAGAGCTATGTTGTTAGACCTTTCCCCCTCATTTCTACCTCCCATGGTTCTGGCCAATGTTGGTTTTGCCTACCTAAACCCAAAACTTACTCCCCAGAAGTTTTGGGGCCCACACTCAGAAGCTGGGGCTCCATCGAGCCCTACTCTAGTCATGCATCACTCTTCCTGTCCTTCACAATTCACAGGCAGACAAATGGTACAGTGGTCAGGCTCCGCTGTCATGGACCTATGCCTGGGGGAAACTGAAGAGGGGGCAGGGCCTTGAGCAGTTACCCAGCCAGTGGGCAACCCTAAACCAAATATTTGGCCCTGAACAGGTACCCATGGGGAAAAAAAAAACAAACCAAAAACAAACAATGATCTTCCACTTGATCAAGAAAAGAGCCAAACAGCCTTTCTCCCAGAAGCACAAAGCATTCTACCCTTTGGACATTGCCGTTAATCCTACACATCCAACCTGCCTCACCTGTAGCCAAAGGCCTAAAATCTGGAAAGCCACGCCCGCAGGGCAGGACATGCAGGGAGAGGGTAAGGAGGGTTTTATCATCAAATTTACAGCAATATGGAGAGTGAAGGGAGGGAGGGGCAGAGGGAGGGAGGGGCAGAGGTTGGTCCCCAAAGAGGGAAGCGAAGCTTGTACAGTGGCTGAGAAAATAGAAAACAGTTTTGATTTTTTTTTTAATGTAAAGTATTTTGGAGGGGAGAGTGAAATCTTTTAACACTTTGAATAAATTTAGTGTTTTATAAAACAGGCCACTTGTTTTCTGCACACTCCCAACTTTTTTAAGGGAGCACCTGCTGTCTTGGGAAGGGCAGAATAAACCCACAGCTGTGAACCCGATCAAGACTAGGATTTAAGTGATGTCAGGATGTCTTGGTGTGTGCCAGTCAGCTGTTGATGTGGCTGTTCCATACAAATCAAAACGGGGAAGAGCTGATAGATTTTTGCTTAGGTATTCATGTTTCAAGAATCACTGGATTTTAAAAAAAAAATTACACGACATAAAAGCAAAAGACATGGAATGGATCTTTTAATATCCTAATCTCAAACCAAGATTTTTTTATTTTTTATTTTTTATTTTTATTTTTTAGTCTTCAGAAAGACCTGTAATTCAAAAAGCACCCCCTACAATGAATGGGGAATACAACCAGAAGGATACTTTTATCTTTTCTTCTCTCAAACCAAGATTTTTAAGTACACTATGTCATTAGTTATGCTAAACTTGCTGTTGTATCATTTTCAACATTTGAAGCAATTCATTAAACATGATTAATTCTCTTAAGACACCTTAGGCATATTAATATAGATTTTTACAGGCATTTGAGCAACCAAATCATACAGAACTGACTTGACTTGTCTAATATGGTGGTCACTAGCTAGTGTGGCTATTTATATTTAAAGCAATTAAAATATAAAAATTGAAAATTAACTTCCTCAGTTGCACTAGCCATGCTTCCAGCTCCTCAGTAGTCACATGTGACTAGTGCCTGTGGTACCAGCTGTGCAAATACAGAACGCTATAGACATTTCTAGAGTTGCAGAAAGTTACAGTAGACAATGTTGATATGGAAGATCTGCATATATATAACAGGAAAGATTAGCGCCAAGAGGATTCTTTGATGTCAGTGACTCTTGGAAAAAATGAATTTGATGTAAAACCATCTAAAATGTATTGTGACTTTTTTCCCCATGAACTTTTAGTTTTGATGCAGGCACTATGCCAATTAGATACTGACTTCTTAGAAGAGAAAATCACACTTTTTGATTATAGTATTTTCTTTGTAAGGAAGTATTTATGTACCTGCTAGTCTTCCCCTCTGCCCCCCCACCAAAAAATAGTCCATTTGGATTAGATTAACTGAAGTTTCCCATTTGACAGTATAGTCAGTTGAAAATACCCTGTTCTTAAAAACTCATGTATTGGGACTTAAAATGGGCTAGGCATTGTGCTGAGCACTTTACATGCAATAATAGCTCATTTAATCAGCCGTGCAAAATAGAATTGCTGTTCCTCAGGTAACAGTTCTGAGAGTTCAAGTGACTTACCTGAGGTCATGAAGCTACCAAGTGCTCAGACTAGGCAAGAATCCTCAGCCTCCACCCAAACCCAGAACCTCAGTTCCTTTCCTTACATGCAGGTTATAATAAAGCTCTCTGTAGGTGCTTTACATATATCAGCACAGTGTCAGGCACATAGTAGACACTCTGCAACATGGTCTTTGCTGTTAGGACTGTTGTACATTTTTTTATTCCCTGTAGTTAACTGCCCTTGTTTTTTCACGTGCTTAGTGTTTTTGGCATAATATCATTAATTCAGTGTCTGTCTCTATCAGAAATGTAAATCTCCCTTAGTGTGTTTATTATACACAGCAAGTGCTCTCAGTTTCATCAGTTCCTGCATCATCCTCCATCCTGGATTGGTTACCCCAAAACAAATGCAATCGCAGTACCACATATGGCTCTGCTGTGAATAATATTTACAAAGTGATAATTAAATGTTCAGTTTTGCTTTGAGAAAAATCACAATCAGAAGATGGAGAAGTGTGTAGGTATAAGGGGCAGTTACTAAAATACCAAACTACAAAAGAAGAGAGTATTGTTTAGAAACATGCAGATGAGTCTAGGGGAAAGATTTGGAAATGACTGCCTTAAGTCAATGTGAGTTGACAGTGGAAAAGGACTGCTGTTTATGCCATAAATAAGCAAGTATTTTTTTAGTGCCTACCATATCCCAGAGGTTGTAGGAATTTGATTAGAAACAAAAAGATTCTTACCTTGTGAAGCTCACATTCTGAATTAAAAATAACTATCTAAAAATCTTATACATGCAAAAATTTAAAAATAGTAATCAAAGAGCCATGGCACAGGGTCTGGCAAACATGAATAGCTCAGTTAAAATCTAAGGCCCCCCGCTGCCATGTTGGAGAACTGAGTGGATGCCAGGCATTGGGCCAAGTGCTTTCCCAATTTATCTTCTCACAACACCCTGTAAGGTAAGTAAGCACTGCTATGATTCGCATTAGTCTCTCAGAAGTTAAGTAACTTGCCAAAATAATGAGGTGCCTGGGACTGATGCTCCATTTGTTCTAATCTAGCCAAAACACCTAACCACTACACTGGTATTGCAGTACTGGATAAAATTGGAAATTTGGCAACTGGTGGTTGGATCTCAAGTTTTTAGAACGATGAGTGCTTGGCGGTCATCACCCCAATTTTCGGGTGTATAAACTGGTAAGGAAGGGCCTTAATGGCTCATCAGCCTGGAAATGCACTTGGAGTGAGCTTCACTGTTTAGAGTTGACAGTCACCACCTACAGAAGCGTCCTATTCTGAGACTGAGAGGCCTGGGACACTCCCAGACCAGGAGAGGTAAAACACCGTCAGGATTTATCTAATCACTTAAATCTTGTTTACTGAGGGCGTTTACTGTTCTGGGACAGGCTAGAACTGACGGTTTAGGTTAAGATAGTGGATGTGAGAACCCAGGAGAGTAGCGTGACAAGACTTGGGGATTGATTGGATAAGATGATAGTATTTACTCTCCCTTTACTTCAGCCCCACCCAAGGGCTATACGCGGGAATGATTGAAGAGTACCATTCCAGTTTTAACAAAAACCTCTTGTTTTACGAACTGGGAAACGCGGGGTGAAGGGGTGGCTGGGACAGACTAGTGGCTTTCCCAAGGTCACAGGATCCCAAAGGGGACCTTTCACTTTTTTAAAAAGTGCTTATATTTGCAATTTTTTACAATGAGCATGTATTACTTGTAATCTTGCACGGACATGTGTGTGTTTACGTAGTCAAATCCACCAGCCTCCGCAGGGTGGTGTCTGCTCCGCCCCATCCCGCGGGCTCCAGTCTGAGCCTGGTGGGTCGGAACAAGGAAGCTTGGCGCCCAGCCGGGTCGCCGGGAAAACCCGGAGCAGCATATCCGGGCGCAGCCGCCCTGGATGCTGAGTTTCCGGGCTTGCGCAGAAGGCGTCGTAGGCGCATGCTCTGTGGCGATCCCGGCCCCGCGGACTGGCGCCGGCGCCGGCCTCCGCGGCCCGCCAAGTCCCGGCCGGGCTGTGGCCATGGCTGCCAGCCTGTGGATGGGCGACGTGAGTGAGGGTGGCCGCCCGGGTCCGAGGAGGAGAAATCTCAGTGTCGCAAGGGGAGGCATCCTCGATCCCGAAAGGGTGGAAGTGAATGGGGAGGGGAGTTTTTAGGACGCCACAAGCGCGTCTCCGCATCCGGGTGAAGTGGTTGAGTCTGCAAGGGGCGGTGTCTTGGGGCCCCGCTCGGGTTCGTGGAAGAGAAAGAGATTCTTGGCTGGCCGCGGCGGATGGAATGAGAGGGATCCTGAGGGTTGAAGGGCGCCGGGATTCTAGGGCTGGAGGGTTGGGCAAATCTTGGGCGGAGGCCCCCTAAAGGGAGCACGTTTGAAGGGAAGGGAGGCAAGGGATTGAAAACGCGGGAGTTGGGGCTCGTACCACTCCTCACCCGCCCCCACCAGCACCGGGCCTCCAACCCTGGGGTGAGGGGGAGGGACTCTGGAGCCGCCTTGAGGAGCCTGGATGCTGCCCTGAATCGCTGCCCTTGTATATACGCAGCTGGAACCCTATATGGACGAGAACTTCATCTCCAGAGCCTTTGCCACCATGGGCGAGACCGTGATGAGTGTCAAAATTATCCGAAACCGCCTCACTGGGTAAGTTTCTCCTTCCATCTTCTTGGTTCTCTCTTAACAGGTCATCCTGAGTGTCATTCAGGAGAATGTAAACATCGCCGAGAGTAAGGGCGTGTCACTCCTAATAGTAGTTATTATAATGTTTTAAAAGCTAACATTTGGAAACATACTGAGAGGAAGTACAGTATATTGCCTAAATGTTATTAGAGAAGCTTAATGACTGCCTTAAAGTTACACAGCTATTAAGTGACAAGGCAGGACTCAGACTCAAGTCTGTCCTCATAGCCATGAGTGCCCTTAACTCGTATGCCATTCATTTAAATACTTATAGAAACACTACTATGCCCCACAATATATGAGTCCTGGGATGACATGGCTGAAACAAGCCAGACATAACCTCTCCTCTCATAGAATTTACTATATGCTAATAGGGGAATGAGACAATAAATATGTGAGCAAAACAAAATGCAGAGAATATTTTCAGATAGTTGTTCTCCATTGCCTCCAATTTGTTCCTTCTCTTCGAGGGTCTTAGTTTTCCTTAGGGTTCCAGTTAGGATATTAGAGGATTTCTTTATCAGTTTGACAGTATATATTGAGAGCATTTACTCTGTGCCAGGACTCTATTAAAGCAGCTTGCTAAAATATCAAATTGTTGAAAAATAACAGATGAGAGATAAAAGGGGTGGTCAACTCTGTGACTCATTGACAGGCATTCCGAGCCCAAACACCCAGGAACTGATTTCCTGACTGGCAGATCATACTGGCCTACATATTTTTCTTCTTGCTCTTGTAGCAAAAACCCCAGATAATCAGCTATTGGTATGAAATTTACATGCAACAAAATGCACAAATCTAGATGCAGAGTTATTTCCACCACAAATTAGTCCTGTAATACTTTTTAAAACACTGATACCACTTCTTGTATTTTAATCTTTATTGAAATAAGATTTGGAACTATCCTTTCCTCTACCCATGATTGCTAACCTCTAGCGGCTCCTTATGGTGGTACATGCAGACACGTGCATTTACATCCTGCCTCACTTGAACAAAGACTTTAAAGAACACAAGAATACTTAAAATACTGAGTAAAAGAATACTGTAAGATAAATAAGTATAACTTAAAAACCAAGATCAGAGAAGATAAGACCCAAGGAAAAATATGCAATAAAGCATAGAGCTTAAGACTGCAGTCAGTGGTCGCACAACAGGGTGAATGTGTTTCAATCCACAGAACTGTACACTTAAAAATTGTCTAAATGATACATTTTATGTTAAGTATATGTAGCCACAATTGTTAACATTCAGAAAAGAAGTCATATGTGGAAAACCACAGCTCTTATTCGTCATCAGTGGGACTGTAAAATGGTATACCAGTAGGCCCAAGTATCTGGCAGTTTCTTATGTCCATGTATGCTGTGATCCAGCAAGTGTGGTCCTATTTACCCATGAAATTAAAACATATATCCACAAGAAAAAAAGGACTTGAAAAAGAATGTTCATAGCAGCTCAATGACAATGGCCAGAACTGCAGGCAGCCCAGGTATCCATGATCAGATAAATTACTGGTATGTTCATAGAACAGAATACCTTAGCAATAAAAAGGAACAAACTACTTGTATAGCAACAACTTGAAAGTATCTCAAAAGTGTTATGCTAAGTGAAAGAAGCCTTACTATATGATTCTATTTATTTAAAAATCTAAAATACATAAAACTAATCTGTGGTAGAAATAACTGCATCTAGATTTGTGCATTTTGTTGCATGTAAATTTCATTGCATATAAACCAAAAAAACAAAAACAAACTGGAAACAAGAACTGAAGTCTAGTGAATAATATGCATGTTAAAGTATTTGAAGGAAGTATAGCAATATCTATAACATACTTTGAAATGTATCAGAAAATAAGCAGGTTGATGTTGGAGGGATGGATAGATGGGTAGTTACATGATGAAATAAGTAGAGTTGACCCTTGAACTAAGTGGGTTAAACGGGTGCGACTCCTGCACAATTGCACATCCACAAATAATTTTGACTCCTTCAATAACATAACTAATAGCTTCCTATTGACCAGAAGCTTTACCAACAGCAGTATTAACAGTTGAGTAATATATTTTGTATATGTATTATATACTGTGTTCTTAAACTAACCTAGAGAAAAAATGTTTTTTCAAATTGTCACAAATCTCAAAATTTCCAATATGTTTACTGAAAAAAATTCACATGTAAGCAGATCTGCACAGTGCAAATCCATGTTGTTGAAGGGTCAACCATAGAATAAAATGTTTATTGTAGGTGGTGGGTATATGGATGTTTGCTATACCATTGTTTTCATTTCTGTGTCTGGAATTTTCATAAGATGTTGGGAAAAGAATGTAGTCAGACTTTCCTGAATTCAGATCCACCTTTGGCACATACCAGCTGTGTTGTTCAGGGCAGAGTGTACAATCCTGCTAAGTCTCAGTCTCCTCATCTAAATGAAAGAAATGGTTTCATTTGCCTAATACTGGTATTGTGAGGACTCAGTGAGATGGGGCGTGTGCGGGGGCTAGCTCGGTGCCTGGCCCATAGTGAGCACTTGGTAATAGTCCACTCTTACTGGTGCTGGTCTTTACATCTATGAACCTTAAAATTCTACATACACAAGTCAGGAGGCACAGATCTGGCCCGCTGTGCCTTTTGGCATTAGGAATATTTATGGAGCCCATAGACTATTGTGTGACTCAGGCTCAGGTACCGCCCTTGCCCACATCATCTTGGCTTTGTGTCTATAAGGTGATCTGAACTGAAAATCTAAAGTACTATTTCCAGAAAAAATTGGATTATTTCACTGGTAGTAACTTTTAGGATGACTTTTTAAACATTAACTGTTTTCAGTTTAAATCTCTTATCAGATAGGGATGTCAGAGAATGTAGCAACGACCTGCTACTTATATCTCTTAGTGATGCTTTAAAAAAGAGAACATTGGGAATCTCACAGACATCCTCCAATTAGGTAAGGTCCATGGGTTTACTTGTCTATCCGTCTATCCAAACAGATTGTAAGTTCTTGAGGACAGGAACCACATTCAGCTCTACTAGCCAAGCTTGTCGTAGATGATTAAAAAGGCTATTCTATAATTATGAACATTTTCAAACAAAATTTCAAAGAACAGTACAGTGAACACTCATACAGCCAACACCTAACTTCAGCAGTTGTTAACATGTCGCCATATTTTCCTATCCAAATTAGTCTAAAGATGGATAGATTTAAATGGATATTTCTTTTTGCTGAACCATATGAAAATAAATTACAGGCATCGTGAAACTTCTAAGTATTCAAGCATGCATTGCCCAAAACTGGACATTCTCTTACATAACCACATTGTTCATATCACACAAACGTAATAATGATTCCCTAATAAGTACAGTTGACCCTTGAACAACACAGGTTAAATGGGTGCCGAACCCTGCACAATCTAACATCCACATATAATTTTGACTCCCCCAAAAACATAACTACTAAATACAGTTACTTTTTTTTTATTTTTATAATTGTCCCCAGAGCATCTTTTATAACTTTTTGTTGTTTTTAATGAATTAAGATCCAGAGATCCTGTACTGCATTTAGTTCTTTTGTCTGTTGGCTCTTTAATGCAGAAAAGCCCACCTCTTTTCTTTCCTTTGTAACATCGGCATTTTAAAGAGGTTAAAATTGTCCTGCATTCTGGAATCTGGCACTACATTAGATCCGTTTGGACTACTTTAAATATTTTTGGCAATAAGGTGATACAGTACATAAGTAAACGTTACCTAAATGAATTGGGGACTGGCCTGAATTGGCAATCCTTTATATTCAGGTTTTTGAGTTGGCAGGGAACAAAAACAGGATGGGCTCTGATGAGAAACGTTTTTCCCCTCTGTGTAGGCCAAGACTCAGTCTCTCATCTGGGAATCGAGTCTTCAACCATTCTCTTTGTTTGCTTTCATTCCAGGATCCCAGCTGGCTACTGTTTTGTAGAATTCGCAGATTTGGCCACAGCCGAGAAGTGTTTGCATAAAATTAACGGGAAACCCCTTCCAGGAGCCACACCTGTAAGGACACTTAGATAATGATTATGTTGCTGTTTTTATTGTCATGGAGAACTACCATCGATTGAATCCCTACTGTGTGCTTACATTATTTTATGTAATCCTGTAAGCACTCAGCAGTAGGCATTGTGACCTGTGACAGGCCAGGAAACTGTAGCTCAGGGCATTGGAATACCTTGCCCAGGGCAGCACAGGTAGTAAGTGGCAGAGCCAGAATGCAAACTGAGGATGGGCTGCCTCTAAGTGCCCTGCCCTTTCCACTCTGTGCCGCTGTCTCCTTTAGCAGAAGATTGAAATGTTAGACCCTTGCCTGACTGAGCGACTAGAACAGGCTGGCAGCAGTGAGAACACATTTCAAGAGAGTTACATTTTGCTCTTCCCACAGTTACTTAGCTTACAGCTGCACCAAGCTGGCACACCTGGGCTCATAGAACCATGGAGCTGGCAGTGCCCTTAGCGGTCATCCGTGCAACCCCTTCATTTTATACAGGAGGAAAGGCTGAGGCTTAGAGAGGGGGAGATGTTTTGGCCAAGGTAATTTGTTTCAGTTTTTTTTTCAAATATTGACTCTTGAAAAACACCTTTCTCTGTTTTAGTTTGTTTGTTTTTAAATTTCCAGGCAAAACGTTTTAAACTGAACTATGCCACTTATGGGAAACAACCAGATAACAGGTATGTACAGAGTAGCTGTAAGGTACCTTCAAGCCCAGGAAATGTATAGATAGAGACAAGGTGCATCCCCATGCCAGTCACTACCAAAGAGGAGGCTTGGCTCCAGTTCGCCTCCCTCCTGAAGGACGACATCTCCCATTCCCCCCGGGATCAGTTTTCTGGGTGTGGGTCTTGGTTTCCCCACCCCTAAGCCTTCCACCCTGTTACGTCCCACAGTATTGGTGTTTTATTTCATAAGAAGTGACCTGGTGTAGCGACATAAATTGATTTTGCTTTTCAGGTCACTGTTTGAAAATTTAAAAAAATACGTCAATTGCAAAAAAGCCCCAAAACACAATGTCAAAAGCTTTAAAAAGGTGTATAGCCACTGATGCTGTAATTCTGTTTTTCAGAATTTATTCTTGAATGTGTGCAAAGATTAGCCTCAAAGATTGAAGTATTATGTTCAAGTGGACAAAATTGGTGAAAAACCCAAATCTAATAATAGAGAAGTGGTTTAAATTACAAAATGTTCATTAATTGGAATGCTGTATGTCCATTAGCAAGTCATTGTAGCAGAAGAGGATATGTAAAGATGTTGGTGATATGTTAAAAGTGAAAAAAAATGCCAGCAGCAGAACAAATGAGGCATATCCAGTTTTTGTAAATTCAAAAGAAGCAGCCAAAGAAAAAAGTATATATCAAAGTGTTAATGAGATTGCCTTTGAATGGATGGGTTATTGATCGTTTTATTTGTCTTTGACCTTTTGTGTATTCTAATGTTATACAAGGAATGTGTATCATGCTTGAAATAAGAAAACAGTTTTGTTTTTATTAATTCTAGAACAGGGGTTGGCAAATTGTGATCTGATTTACCTCATCCTTGAGCTAAAAATGGTTATTACACTTTGAAAGGATTGTGAAAACAGAAAAAGCAACAGAGACCATAGGTGCTCTACAAAACCTAATATATTTTCTGTCTGGCCTTTTACCAAAAACGCGTTTGCTGACCCCTCTCCTAAAAGTTAGGGGATTTTGTTTTAGCTAGGCTTTAGGTCTTTAGGAGATAAGGTCCAATGTCTTTCTCTCTCTTTCACTGTTTGAGTTAAAACTATGCAATGAATACAGAATGTCTAGTGTTATCTTCTGAGCACCTCTGCTTGGGTCCCCCCAGTTGCATGCATGTAATACTTAAAACCAATCAGGCTTTGTTCAGGGTGAAGGACTTGGGACGGGGCTGCTTCAATAACTCGCCCGCCAGGACTGCCAAATGAAAGCAGTTAGGGCCCAATTAGGGACCCATCAGATGTGTTGTTCCTTAAAAGGCCCAGGAAAGGTTTACCTAGAATGGGCCAAAGAGCTTGTCAGACAAAGGTTTTGGTCTTGGTCTCTGAATCTTGTTCTCTCCTCTCAGCCCTGAGTACTCCCTCTTTGTGGGGGACCTGACCCCAGATGTGGATGATGGCATGCTGTATGAATTCTTCGTCAAAGTCTACCCCTCCTGTCGGGGAGGCAAGGTGGTTTTGGACCAGACAGGCGTGTCTAAGTAAGGCCTCACCTGTTGCGCCTACCCTGTTAGTGGGAGCCTTTTCCTCAGAGGTAGAGGTAGTGCAGTGAGGCTGTGCAGAGTGGCGGTGAAGAGCACCAGCTCTGGAGCCACACTGCCTGATGGGAATCCCGGCTCCAGTGCTAGCTGGGGGTAACACAGTCAGCAAGTGACTGAACCTCTGGCCCTATTGCACCTCTGCAAAATGGGCCTCATTAATACTATCTGCTCATAGAGGGGATGTAAGGATTAAATGATGTCATATAATAAAGCAATAGGATATGCTTTATAGGTGTTTGCCAGTTTATTTACTATTATTACTTTAAAAGTGGAAACGCTTCAAGGAAGGCTCATTCTTGATCAGAGTATAGCAGTTGTAAACTCAGGCTTTGAGAGTTTGACAGGCAGGCCTGAATTTGAATCCTGCTTCCACTATGACTTTGGACAAGTTATTAAACATCTCTTAACTTTGGTTCCCTTTTCAGTAAATGTGGATACTATCTTCATCAAATTGTTGGGCAGTTTGTTAAGATAACCCTGGGGAAATGCTCAGCACAGTGCATGGGAATAGTAAGTGCTCATTAAATGTTAGCTATCGTTCATTTACCCCCAAGTAGAATATGAGTTCAGGAGAACAGGAACCTTGTCTGCTTCTGGATGCTGAGTGCCGGTGCAAAGCCCAATACCTACACACAGGACAGACTCAGTAATATTTGCTGGATGAACCTCTACAACTGTTACCACTACTGCAGTTACTGTAATGATAATGATAGTAGTGATACTTGCCCCTAGGTTGGGAGGAAAGCTATTTGGGAAGGAGCCCTGTCATTGAAGGTATGGAGGAGGACTGTGAACTGAAAGTGGGGCTCCTACAGATCTCGGGATCCTCCAGTGCTTGAATCTCTGTGGCATACCTCCACTGATGGGGCTCTCACCCCTTCCCACATAGTCTGATGGACTTCCTTCCATTCTTAGACTTGATTTTTAGCACATTTGTGATCTAAATAGTGTGTGGGTTTTTTTTCCTGCAGGGGCTATGGTTTTGTGAAATTCACAGATGAACTGGAACAGAAGCGAGCCCTGACAGAGTGCCAGGGAGCAGTAGGACTGGGGTCTAAACCCGTGCGGCTGAGCGTGGCAATCCCTAAAGCGTGAGTCCTGACTGGCAGGGAAGGTAGAGGGCCTCTAGACTGCCCCCCACCTGGACGCTCCTCACTTGTTTTTTGATAATCAGAGCATCCACAGGCTCGATGGAGGATGCAGGGAGACGCTAGGTCACAAATAATCAATGCCTGTTACCTGCCAGGCTGTGTGTTGGAGATGAACAAGCATAACTCCCCCTCCAGAAGCTTAACGGCTGGAGAGAGAGCTGTGAGTGGGGAGGGCAGATACATCTGCCATTGCTGGTAGCAGTGCTGGAAAAGCAGCTTGGCTCCATGTACTTAATGTCCCTGCTGTTTGTACAGTAGTGCCGCTGTTAGAAATTTATCCATAGAACCAATAAGAATTAAGTAGAAGGGAAAAAAAATACACTCAGTTTTAGCCTTATGTATGTCAGTGAAACCTAGAAACCTCCTGTGATTGTCCCTTGCTGTGGGAAAGACTAAGGATTAACGATCCAAACACAACAGAATATTACACATACTGTTGTATGTGTCATGCTGAGCAGAAAACCCTTCTTCCCTTACATCTCCAAACAAGTTTCTAACTTGTGTGAGAAACAACTTAAAACTGTCCAGTCTCACAGATAAAACTTCTCTGTGTAGAATCTTCCCTTTTGTGGCCAAAGCAGTGGTTCTCAGCTGGGGATAATTTTGCTCCCCAGGCAACACCTGGAGACAGTTTTGGTTGTCACAACTGCGTGGGGTTAGGGGAGGTGCTGCTGGCATCTCCTAAGTAGAGGATGGGGATCCTCCTAAATGCCCTACGGCACACAGGACAGCTCACAACAGACTTCTGCAGCCCTTCCCCAGTCAGCAGGGCCAACGCTGAGAAACTCCGCTCCAGAAGTGGAAGAGTGGCTGCATTCTTAGGGCAGAACTTCCACATGGACATGTTTTTTAAAGCAGCAAAAGATTTGGAAGTTCTTTGCAGTTTAACTGTTTAAAACCTAGATCAGCCTAAGTGATTTTCCCCCTAAATGTTATTTGTTCTAAACTCTACTGTATGTGCAAAAACATGAAGAAAATATTTAAAAGAGAAATTCTCATTACCCTAAAATGTCCAATCATAATTTCTGAATTCCTTTCCAAGTTCCCCATGGGTGTCCGTGAGATACATAGGTATAGACAGAGATGAACTGCATATGAATCAGTCAGTATGTGGTAGATTTATTTCTTTATTCATTTTTAATTATAATTACAGTGCTTTTTCCCCCAGTCCTGAGTATACATGCTTATTTTCCCATGCAGTTGCACAGTCGTCATTCTTTATATTTTTAACACCTGCAATGTATTGTTTGGATTGTATATTCTGTCCAGCAGTTCCTCTGATACTATGTTGGTTGTTTCTGATGTGTTAACATTTGTTCAGTCAACACTAACAGACCCTACAATTCTGCAGGCCTGCCCATAGACATTGGGGTTGTAGTGTGAATGAGAAACAGCCCCTTCTGCAAGGAGGTTATACCTGTTGTGGCTGTTTCCTTGTTGAGCACTGTTGCTGGTATTTGGTGCCTGCCTCTAGGGAGGTGCCCTCAAACACTAGGAGTTGAGGATGATAAAGTTCCCTTTGAGAGACTTAAGAGCTGAGTGTGGAGAAACAACAGAAATGTACAGACCCAGGCCAGGGAGACTGTACTTTGGATTACTTAAACATGTCGGAAGTGTGGCAGACTCGTTGGAACGTGGAACAGGAGTCGTGGAGGGGAACGTCAGCAGATTCCAGCCTGGCGCTGAGCTGGGAGAGGGACGTCTGCCATTGGACTTCAGTGAGCCACCCCATCTGGAGGTGATGCTGGAGTCTGTCATTGAATTTGCAAAGAGTCATTCAGACTTCAAGCATTTTTGTTTCCTGCGTCTAGGGTTTCCATGGTACATCAGCTCCTGCTTGTTGGTTTCCTCTCTGGCTTCACTGTGGCGATGGGATACACCAGGCATGATGACAGAAATGCATTCCATACTGTGTGACAGTTAAGATTCTCCTGAACCCACCTGGCATGGTGGTGTCAGCCTCTGCCTTCTGTGTGTGTGTGATGGGCACCTACAAGACAGTGTGGCCCTGAGGAGTACAGTGACTCTGGAAGCGCACTGCCGTGTCCTGAACTGGGGTTCTATTCTTCCGATTCTTCTCAGCTAGGACTGGGGGTCATTCCCCAGGCCTGTTTCATAACCCTGTGGCAGGTGGTTTTTGATATTTTTGAAAGCAGTGGATCCTTTGTAGGCTTGACATTCCATCTTTGGTTAGCAGCAGATTAGGTAGCCATGCAATCAGAAGACAGTTATCTGCTGCCCCTGGGCCTCAGCTCTGGTTGTGGATGCAGGATGGAGGCAAGATAGCGCAAGTCTCTCAGGGCAGGTACTGTAGGTAAGATCTGGGTGACAATAGGAACATGAGCCTTGGCGTTAAATTTGTCACCAGTCCTAGGTGTGGTGTTGAGTAAATCACCTAACCTTTTAAAAGCACAGTATTCTCATCGGTATAAAGGGAATCATAGATAACAGCTGTATTGTAGGGTTGTGCAGAACTTAAAAGTAGGACACCATATATGAAAAATAATTGGCACAAATCCTAAGTACCTACTCCATAATTGTAGCTAGGACTATAGCAGTGATGATACAGCTACTGCAATGCTTCCCCTATCTTTTTGTGTAGAACAGGTGATTAGATATTTTGTAGTTTGAAATGTTTCTTGGATCATCCTCCAAACAGATTCTCCAGGCCATGTTCACCTGAGCCCTTGTGACTGGCAGAAAAGCAGTCCTCCAAGATCTTGAGAAAAGGAAAAAGCAGGACTGACAAGGTTTGATAACAGACAAACCTAGCCATTAAAAGATCCTCTTTTTTTTAAATTATGGTATCATTGATACACAGTCTTATGAAGGTTTCACATGAGCAACATGTGGTTACAACAGTCACCCGTATTATGAAGCCCCCCTATCCCCCAATTGCAGTCACTGTCCTTCAGCGTAGTAAGATGCTATAGAGTTATTACTTGTCTTCTCTGTGCTATACTGCCTTCCCCGTGACCTACCTATACTATGTGTGCTAATTATAATGCCCCTTAATTCCCTTCTCCCTCCCTCCCCAGCCCCTTCCCTTTGGGAACTGCTAGTGCCTTGGAGTCTGTGAGTCTGCTGCTGTTTTGTTCCTTCAGTTTTGTAAAAGCTTCTCTCTTTAAAGCATGGGCTCTGGAGCCAGACTGCCTGGGTTTGACTCTCTAGCTGGGTGATTTTGGACAAATTATGCAACCTCTCCATTGCCTCATCTGTAAAGTAGGAATCGTGATATGCTTACTGCACAGGGCTGTTGTGGGGACTAAGTTATTCTGCATGAAACATTCAGAAAAGTCTCTGGCCATATAGTAAGTGCTGTGGAAATGTTTGCTTACATTTGTTTGTTTATTTTTGTTTCTTCCTTCATTTAAGGAGTCGTGTGAAGCCAGTGGAATACAGTCAGATGTACAGTTATAGCTACAACCAGTATTACCAGCAGTACCAGAACTACTATGCCCAGTGGGGCTATGACCAGAACACAGGCAGTTACAGCTACAGTTACCCCCAGTACGGCTATACGCAGAGCACCATGCAGGTAACCAGGACTTGGCCAGTCTGGCCCTCTGGGATCGCACCGCCCTCTAAAGTCATGGGTCGTTCTCTAGGGTGGGGTTGTTAGAGACAGGAGCTTGGACTTCAGAAAGAAATGGGAAGAGATGAAGCAGCCTAGTTCCTTTTGGTAAAAACAAGCCATCCTAACCTTAAATCTCTAGTTGGTTGGTCAGAAGCACAGTTAACAGCCTGGGTTTGTGACTAGCATCTGAAGTAGGGGTTGAGGAAAAGTCTTGTAGGACTGGACCCTTAACCTGTGGAATCTGATGCTATCTTGGGTAGATAGTGTCAGAATTGAATGAAATTCTCATCTCGCTGGTGTTTTGTGTATGGGAACACTGTTACTCAAATATTTATTACTCCATATCCACACAAATACATTCAACTGATCTTTGAAAAAGCAGCAAAAGCATTTCAGTGGAGAAAGGAGTATTTTCAACAAATGGTGTTACAACACATTTAAAAAATGCTCTCGACACAGAGCTTATACCTTACACAAATATTGTCTTAAAGTGGAAAACAGACATAAATGCAAAACACAAAACTATAAAATAGCTACAAAGGAGAAAATGTAGGTGACCTTTAGTTTGTTTGGCAATGACTTTTTATATACAATACCAAAAGCAATGTGTGCGAGACAGACTTGATAATTAAGATGAATAAAATTAAAACCTCTGCAAAAGACACGTGTTAAAAAAATATGAAAAGATAGTCATGTCATTAGGGAACTGTAATTTAAAGCAACAGTAATATACCAGTACACACCTATTTGACTGAAATCCAAAACACGGACACTAGCAAATGCTGGTGAGGATGTGGAGCAACAGGAACTCCCATTCAGTGCTGGTGGCACTGCAGAATGGTACAGCCACTTGGAAGACATTTTCTTACAACAAAACTTATGTCCACACAAGACCTCCACATATATGTATCTTGCTGGTATATGCATCATTACCAAAACTGGGAAGCAACCAAAATGTCCTTCAGCAGGTGAATAAGTAAACTGTGGTACAACCATAGAATGGAGTGTTAATTAAGTGATAGCTTATACATAAATCTTCATAGCAGCTTTATTTGTAAACATCCCAAAACTGGGGGGGAAAAACCAAACCTCCAGTAACAGCTGAATGAATAAAAAATAATTGTGGTACATCCATACAAAGTAGTAATACTCAACAATACAAATGAACAAACTATTACTACATGCAACAAGATGAATTCTCAAAATAGTTAAGATTAGTGAAAAAGGCCAAAGACCCTAATCTCTAGGAAGTATATACCATATGATTCCATTTATATAAAACTGTAGGAAATGCTTGCTGTTGCTTGTGAATTATGGGGAAGAGGTTGCTGGAAAGGACTGGGAGAAAAAAATTATAAAGGGACACAAGGAAAAAAAAAACAACCCATCCTAGTCATGGGCCAGGATTTCGCTATGCCTCTCACCCACATCTTTGGTCTCTTGGCAGACGTATGAAGAAGTTGGAGATGATGCACTGGAAGGTAAGAAAGGAGTCCATTCGCTCATTCCTCTGTCCTCTGTCAGCCATTTCCAAGTGCCTGCTTTGTGGCTGTCACCATACCTTTAGCTAGATGCTGTTGGAATACAAGGTGACTTCTGCTCTGGAGGACCTTACGTTCTGGTGAGAGAGCCAGTGCGCACGTAATCACAGTACAGAGTGAGTGTGTCGCCGTCCAGAGGTGTGAGTGCAGAGCCCAGAGAGCCCAGGAGAAGGCAGCTGCTCACTCCCAGCCTGGTGGCAGAAACACTGTTGCCTTGTATTTATATGACAGTTTGTAAAATTCATTTTTTATTTAATTTTCCTTTCAATTCTCAGTCTCTGGCTGTTCCCTCCAGGAAATACTGCCTCCTTTTAGAGATAACCTTAGTATAATAATATCTGTATGTAACTCCTTTGAATTTTCCAGTCTCTTTCTCATCCATTAGTAATATATTCACAGCCAACACATTTTGTGCCAGGCTCTGCTACCTTTCAACATTGTGATGAGTTGGTACCATTATAATCCCCAGTCTACGGAAAAGAAAACTAAGGCTGAGATAGTTAATAATAGCTAACAGTTACTGAGGTCTTCCTATGCACAGGGCTCTGTTTTAAGCACTTTTCATGTATTAACTCCTTTCACAACAGTTTTGAGGTAAATACCACATTTATTCTATTTTATGGACTAGAAAACTGAAGTAGAGGAATTAAATTACTTGTCCAAGGTCACCATGGTTGCAAGTTGCAACATAGTAGCCAGAGGTGAAGGAGTCAGCCTTCCAACTGCAGTTTTACCCCAGACCTCAGGATGTTTCTGGCTCTGTCCTAATGCCTGCCATTTCACCCTAATAACTGCCCAGGGTCCCAGGGAGCATGGTGGGTGGTTGTCCTTCATCTATGCCCTGGCTTCAGTAGGCCGTCTGCCAGGCTGTCTTCAGAGTGAGGAAGGGTGCTTTATTTTATATGTATCCATAGACTTCAGCTCCCACAAATGCCTGCCCTTGATGGAGCTCTTTTTTAATCTCTTCCCATAGGCTGTTCACCTACTTACACTGAGTACAGTAACCAAGCTGGTCACGCTTGCTTATAATTTCCATATGGAGCCTCTCTAAATGCTCAGAGTTTCAATTCTTAAAATTTAGATTAGAATTACAAGAGAGAGATCCCTGTTTCAAGGAATTGGCCTAGTACGTTCATGAAAGATTCAACACGGACTGCTTTGGAAAAGGAAACAGGTTCTCAAGAGTAGGTAAGAAAGCTGGGACTAATTTACAAAACAAGCACAAAGAGCCTATAAACGAAAAAAAAAAAGCGTTTAAATATACTGTTGTATCAGTCAAGTTTCTCCAGAGAAACAGGCAACAGGATGTATGAATATATAACTCTATAAAGCGAGCTGGAAACTCAGGATTTCTGCGTCTGTTTACAGTCTTGACGCAGAATTCCTTCTTTGGGAAGCCTCCATTTAAGGCCTTCAGGCTTTTAGTTTATTAGATCAGGCCTACCCACATTATTGAGGATAATTTCTTTTATTTAAAGACAACTGGTTGTGGATGTTAATCACATCTCTAAAGTACCTTCACGCAACATCTGGACTGGTGTTTGGCCAACAACTGGTGCCATAGCCCAGCCAAGCTGACACAAAACTTGACCGTCACACTAATAATCAAATACAAATGATAATATACCATGTTTCTGTAAAAAGTTACAATGTGTATATCCTTTGAATCAATAATTTTATTTGAAAGATTTTATCCCCAAAATGATAGTCGTTACAGATAAATGTCCTCCTATAATAGAGGATTTGTGAAATAATTGTCTTTTTTTTTTTAATCATGTCTTTTTCTGAGACTATTGACATAAGAAAATGTTCTCAGTGAAACAAGACCAGATATAAAATAGGATATATGGTAAAGTTCCAGTAAGGGGTTTGTTTTGTTTGTTCTTTGGGATATAATTCCCATAACTTTTCAAGTGTACAATTCAGTAGGTTTTAGAATAATTACAAAGTTGTACAACCATTTCTGTACTCTTAATTCTGGGAGAAACCCTGTAACCATTAGCAGTCACTCTCCATATGCCTGCCTCCTCCAGCCCCTGGCAGCCACTCATCTCCTGTCTGTCTCTTTAGATTTAACCTATTCTGGACATTTTAAATAAATGGTATCATATATAATGTGTGGTCCTCTGTGAATGGCTTCTTTCACTTAGCATAGTATTTTCAAGTTTCATCCATGCATGTTGTAGCATGTATCAGTACTTTATTCCTTTGTTTTGCCAAACAATATTCCATTGTGTAGATACCTATTTTGTTAATGGACATTTGGGTTGTCTCCACTTTTGGTATTATGAATAATGGTACTATGAACATTCATTCATAACTTTTTGTGTGGACATAGAAAAGTTTTCATTACTCTTGGGTACATTCATAGGAGTGGAATTGCTGGATCATGTGGTAAATTCTGTTTAACCATTGAGGAACTGCCAAATACTTCTGCAGGAACTGCAGCATTTTCTGCTCCTACTAATAGTGTAGGAGGCTCCCAGCTTCTCCACATCTTCAGCAGTTATTCCTTTTCACTGTAGCCATCCTAGTGGGTTTGAAGTGCTATCTGATTGTGGTTTTGAATTACATTTTCCTGATGGCTAATGATGTTAAGCCATCTTTTCATTTGCTTATTGGCCACATGTGTATCTTCTTTGGAAAAATGTCTGTCCATTTTTTAATTGGGCTGTGTTTTATTTGTTGAATTATAAGAGTTCCTTATATTCTATTCTAGATACCAGTCCCTTATCCAGCACAATTTGCAATGTATTCCTCCCATTTCATAGTTATCTTTTCACATTCTTGATAATGTTCTTTGAAGCACAAAAGTTAATTTATATGAAGTCTGATTTTTTTGTTGCTTGAGCTTAGGGTGTCATATCTAAGAAACCATTGCCTGTTTACATTCTGAGTTTTATAGTTAGCTCTTATATTCAGGTCTTTGATCCATTTTTAGTTAATTTTTGTATAAAGTATGAGGTAAGCATCTAGCTTTTTTCTTTGCATGTGATTATCCAGTTGTCCCAGCACCATTTGTGGAAAATACTATTCTTTACCCATTGAATTATCTTGGTGCCCTCACCAAAAATCATTTGGGTTTTGACCGATCTGTAGGCCTATCATTAGGGCCACTGCGCTAGTTCTTACTACTGTTGCTTTGCAGTAAGTTTTGAAACGGGAGAGTGCTAGTCCTTGAACTTTGTTCTCTCCCAAGATTGTTTTGGCTACTCTGGGTCGCTTACATTTCCATATATATTTTATGATCAGCTTGTGAGTTTCTGCCAAAAAAAAGGCAGCTGCATCTTTGATAGGGATTGCACTGAATTGGGTACAAATTCACACCCAATTTGGGGAATGCTGCTATCTCAGCAGTATTGTCTTCCAATGCAATTATATGGGATGTCTATTTATTTAGGTCCTTAATTTCTTCAGTTAGTTTTAAAATACGTATTCTAGTGAGTGGGTGTGTTTATGCATTTTTTTTTGGTATCATTAATCTACAATTACATAAGGAACATTATGTTTACTAGACTCCCCCCATCACCAAGTCCCCCCCACATACCCCATTACAGTCACTGTCCATCAGTGTAAGATGCTATAGAACCACTACTTGTCTTCTCTGTTGTACAACCCTCCCCATCCCCCCTACATTATGTCTGCTAATAGTAATGCCCCCCACCTTTTTCTTTTTTTTCCCCCTCTTATCCCTTCCCTCCCACCCATCCTCCCCAGTCCCTTTTCCCTTTCGTGACTGTTAGTCCATTCTTGGGTTCTATTGAGTCTGCTTCTGTTTTGTTCCTTCGGTTTTTTCTTTGTTCTTATACTCCATAGATGAGTGAAATCATTTGGTACTTGTCTTTCTCTGCCTGGCTTATTTCACTGAGCATAATACCCTCTAGCTCCATCCATGTTGTTGCAAATGGTAGGATTTGTTTTATTCTTATGGCTGAGTAATATTCCATTGTGTATATATATGCTACATCTCCTTTACTCATTCATCTACTGATAGACACTTAATGTTGCTTCCATTTCTTGGCTACTGTAAATAGTGCCGTGATAAACATAGGGGTGCATATGTCTTTTTCAAACTGGGCTGCTGCATTCTTAGGGTAAATTCCTAGGAGTGGAATTCCTGGGTCAAATGGTATTTCTATTTTGAGTTTTTTGAGGAACCTCCATACTGCTTTCCACAATGGTTGAACTAATTTACACTCCCACCAGCAGTGTAGGAAGGTTCCCCTTTCTCCACCTCACCAACATTTGTTGTCTTTTGGATGGTGGTGATCCTTACTGGTGTGAGGTGATATCTCATTGTGGCTTTAATTTGCATTTCTCTGATAATTAGCTGTTTATGCATTTTAAGCCAACACAAGACTAAAAGTATAAAGTGTTACCAGAGTAACTGATTTTGTTTTAATGTGAAATATGTATGTGGAAAAAATATATAAGGCAAATGTCCAGTTTGATCCTTTACACAATGTTCCCAACTAGGGAAAACTTTTCTGTGTTTTTAATGTAATATGCAGTTGTACTCTGTACAGTCTCATTTCACTCAGCATTTTGAGGTCCATTCCAAGTTATGTGCAGCTGAGGCCCATTTTCAGTGCTTTTTTAATAGTGCTATGGACTTAGTAATTTTGATGAGATTCTTTGAAATAAGGACACTAGAAAAGCCAGGACACATGAAGGCTAGAGGTAGAGGTATAGCTTTTAATGAATCTGGAGTAAGAGCCACCATTTGAATAGTGACTACATGTTACATTCTCTAAGTACATTATTGTCATCCTCACAGGACCCTGCAAGGCAGTGTGATCAGCTGCCATGAGAAATGAGGGAACTTGACACCAGGACAGAGCTTGCCCTAGGAAACAGGAAGTCCTGGATGTAGGGGAACTGAATGCAAGTCTCTCCTCTTGATGCTCCCTGAACCTGTCCTTGCTTCTTTTCCAGACCCCATGCCACAGCTGGACGTGACTGAAGCCAACAAGGAGTTCATGGAGCAGAGTGAGGAGCTGTACGATGCACTGATGGACTGTCACTGGCAGCCTCTTGACACAGTGTCTTCGGAGATCCCTGCCATGATGTAGCCAGGACAAAGGACAAGCAAGAATGGATTATGCAAGAGAAATAAGAAACTCCTTTAAAAAAATCCAATCACCTTTCTGGAAATGTTTTATAAGATTTTTAATAGTTGTTTTCCAACACTGCTGCCTTTATTTGACAATGAGCCATTTGACTTTGAAAACCAAGGGACAGCTGTTGAAAAGCACTGAACAGGTTCCATTTTGTCTTTGAACTATAATCACTTTTCCAGGTAGAGTTATGTACATGCACTGGGATTATTAACCAAAGTGGATCATGTGATTCCATTTCTAAACCTCATGGCCCTTCTCAGGTGATAGGCACTAAAGGTTTACTGGGGTCAGAATGCATCAGTTAACATGCTCTATGTCCAATGTAGGTATGCCCCATTCCCCACAAATTGCTTTTGTCTTGTAGTAGTGAGCTAATTAGGCATTCCAGCTGGAAATGAAGTTGCATGCAATTACTGTGCTATGCCAAGCCCACCTATTTCTTGACCCTAGTTACCTAAGTATATTCAATAGGTATAAATGTTTACCTATATGAAATAGTGGCTTATAAAGGTAACTTGACCTTGACTGAGGTTGACGAGTACCAGACTTTCACACCAACTTTATACTCATCCCTTCTGTTTTCCAAATCAGGAAATCCCATTTTTCAATCTAGAGTATACCCAGGCCCCTCCTGAGTTGGGTCTATGCCAAAAACCTGTATTTCATACTTTGTTTTGTGTTAAGAGGATAGTTGGGGTGGGAGTGGGCAGGCAAATGGTCTATGCCACAAGAAGCCTTTAAAGATTTTTAAAATCTTAGGCCTAGTCTGCATTCTCAGGTTCATCAACAGAAAAGTAGAGCAGTTATAGAATTCACTATATTGCCCCCTTTGAGAGTTCAACCTTCTTTATTAAGAGGCTGAGCCTATGGAATATTTAATTAGGGAACAGCCAACAATTTGAGCAGTCAAGAAAACTGACACAAACATACTTTTGAGTCTTTTATTGGTCACTTTAACATGCCAGGCAGCAGCTTTAGCAAAAATAGAGGTCATTGTATCCACTTAAAATAAATAGCCTGTTGTGTTAGCTTGCCTTCTTCCCATAGCACTTCTCTCCTGAAAAGTATAAGCCAATGTGTTACTGTGTCCCAATAGATTAATGCCGCCCAGGCATTTTTCTAAGAGCTGGTCTCAGTCCCATATCCGCATTTATCATCCGTAGATGTCCACTCAGATAGGTTTCATCCTGGACCAGTCAGCCTAAAAAATGACCCTGAGCTACTTGTTTCTACCCAGTCCCTCCTCCCAACTCACCCAAACTATGGGTAAAGATTCCATGGTTGGAGATTACCCCCAGAACATCAGGCGGCTCAAGCCACTGTTGTGCACTGACAGCAAGCAGCCCTTGCTGCCAAGGGTGCGGGGCTGTCCCATCTGGCACACTGTACTCACAGAATGTGCCCACCCTGAAGCTCTAACAGGCCAAATCAACTCCTCTGGCCATGAATGGGTAACAAATACAGCACATGAGGACGGCCAGATGTAAACGGTGTATTACGAAGCTTAGACTCTACACAGACCTGAGTAGTCTATTTGCTAAACTGCTTAAAGCTGCAAGGGAGCAATGATAAAACTTCAGGTAATCATTTAACTTACCCAACTCCTTAGATACATACACAATCGCAGGCAAAAGCAGCTTCACTGGTAAGAGACCTACAAAATGGGGTAGGGACACCCTCAGTGAAGAGGCAGGAAAGCCATTGATAAATCCCTCCCGAAATATGCAGAAATACTAGTAATCACTACACCAACTGCCCAAAAATTCATATACATCCTCCATTTTACAGAAGACAACTTTGTTTGAAACTAGCCCACATGCTATATATGAGACTATGAGCACTGCAGGACCAGCCTCAGTGTTCCTTTTCCTCCTTTTACGACCACCAAGACCAGTGTTCAGATCCGATGGGAAAGGGAACCGGAGGGGCAGGCCATCTTCAGCATTTACCTTTACCTTATTCTAAAACAGCTTCAGCAACAAGGTGGTCTCTTCAGTATTAGACACTGCGGGGAGACATGAGGCAACCTGCAGGGAAGAAGTGTAAGCGCTCTGAACAGCTGATCAGCTTACTCACCTGCAGGGGGTGCTGCAAACACCCGGACTCAGGTGAAGGCTCCCAGCCTGGGGCCTGAGACGATGTAGGAAAGGCGAGTGGCAGCTGCAGGTATTGCGCTGACCCGTGCTGTCAAAGTCTCTCCAGGTTGTTCTCGCATGCAGTTGGAGGTCCCATGGCCACAACCAGCCACAGCCCTTGGGAACATGCTGCACTGACCCACCAGGTAGCTCCCAATTAGTCTCCACAAGAAACCTACCAGGTCCTCACGTAGTTGTGCTCCATTAGCGTCATGACCCCAGAATCTTCACTCAACAGAAAGCTCAACTTCAGTCACCCTGAGACCTTCGTGTGGCACAGCTGAGACAAGAACACACACAATTGTCCTGAATGATCTAACTGCTCCCTTCTGATCTTTAGAATCAAAGGTTTGACTGGCCTTTCGGTCCTGGTTTCAATACCTTTAAATTTTTCAGGGCAATGACCCACAATACTGCCAATATCTGTGCCATCTGCCACTGGACTTTCCCAGCACGTGTCCAACGCACTCCCTCTACCCCTCCACACTGAGTCTTGGCAAGTTAGCAAGTTATTTCTAAAAACCTTATTCTAGTAACTATATGCAAGACTATCAATGGCACACCTCTGCTGGCCTCTAGAAACAAGTTGTAAAAAAACCTGTCTGTACCTGAGAAATGGCAGGTACAGTGGGAACGGTCTTGTCTTTTCCTGAAATGTTGCAGATCAGTTACAGCAAACAGAACGGCGACCGTCAAGGAAAACTGTCACTCTGGGCTCCTTTTTGACCACAGCAGCTATGTGGAAGCAGCTGCAGCTTCGATAAGGGCCACAGGGCAAATCAAGGTCTCAGGACAGCCCCGACTGCTGTTCCGCCCTCAGACCCACCTAAATCCTACACATAACTGGACACTGAAATTCATCTCCCAGGACATTGGGGAGATCAAAAAAGTGAACAGATATCCAATAGGTCCCAATTAGCACTTTACTATTTGTGTTCTGTCATTTAACCTTTACAAGACTACTTCAGCATCCCCATTAGGTTTAGATAATTAAATTACTTGAAGGTCGCCTATGATTGTGAAAAATGAGTGAAGTGGGGTCCAAAATAGCATCTGCGTAACTCTAAAACCCATCCTCCAGAAAACTTCCTTATATACACGGGGATAAATTATTAAACGTGCAGCCAGTTAACAGGTAAAGTCACTTCCCCCAAGGTCACCCGGCAGGTCACTGTCACAGGCAGTCAATTCAAGATCTGGCTAACACCACGCCGCCTCCTCCAGATTAAGCCACTTTAAGCCCAGGACTGCCCTGCAGCGGGCCGCCTCTCCGCGTTACTCACCCGTCACGGCGGAGCGCAGGGATGCGCAGGCCGAGGCGGGAGAAGGGCGCGGCCCTCGCGGGCTCCGGCCACTCTCCCGGCGCATGCGGCCGACGTGGCCTTCCGGACTTGAGGCTCCACAGGCCCATAGGGCGGGCAACTCCGGGACGCGCTCAACATCCGCAGCCTCATGAGGCAGCCCGGCGAGTGAGGGGCCGATGGCAGTGGAGCTAAGGCAAGCTGTGGCGAGGACGGGTTTGGATGGTAGCAGCCGATTAGCAACAAGACACAGCAGCGCGGTGGATGGAAAAAGGATGTCTACGCTCTAGTAGACCGTTTATATAGGCCCGTCCTCGGGGCCGCGCCTGACGGCTGGAGCGCCGCGCCGCGCCGCGCAGACCGCCGGGAGTTGTAGTCCATTCGCCCTCCGCGCGGGGCGGCGCGTTCAGCTCCCAACCTCACGCATGGGCTGGAGGCGAAGGGATGTTGTAAGTGGTTCTTCAGGTCCGAAGAGGCTCATCCGCCTGGTTTCGCACGCATTGAACGTCCAGTGCAGGGCACTGGGCTCACAAATGAATCAGACGGCCGTGTCCTCAGGAGTTCAGTCTAGGAAGGATTCGAGAGTCGGGAAGTTTAACCCTGTGAACTGGGAAAGCTGTTTTAGCTATTCAGAGTCCTTTGGATTTCCGTATACATTTTAGTCTCAGCTAATTTGTATTTCTTTTAAAGCCTACTGGGATTTGGTTGGTATTGCATTGAATTTGTAGATAAATTTGGGGAAAATTGACAAATACATTGAATTTCCTCGTGAGGATGGTATCTCCATTTAATGAGGTCATTTAAATTTTTTCAAGTGTTATGTAATTTTCAGTTTACAAGTCATCAGATTTATCCCTACGTTTTTCATATTTTTGATGCACTTGTTAAATGGTATTGTTTTTATCAACTTCAAATTCTAAATGGTTATTACTAGTATATATAGAATTAATTTTTGCATATTAATGGGTATCCTGCAGCCTTGCTAAACTCACTTATTAGTTCTAGTAGCTTTTTGTAAGTTCCTTGGACATTTTTCATGTCTATAAATAAAGACAGGTTTACTTCTTCCTTCCCAATCTGGATGCCTTTTCTTTCTTTTTCTTGTCCTCTATTACTGGCCAGGACTTCCAGAACAATTTTGGATTAATGAGTTACATTTCATCAAAATTTAAAACTCGGGGTGGGGCTAAGGTCAGGAAATAATTTTAAAAGGACATAGGGAAACTTTAGGGGGTGAAACATGTTAGTTGTCTTAATTGTGGTGATGTTTTCATGCATGTACACTTACATCAAAACTCATTACGCTGTACATTTTAAGATGTGCAATTCATTGTGTGTCAATTATACTGCAATAAAGATGTAAAAAAATAAGGAAAATATTTTTATATCATACTATTTACCTCCTCAAAAATCTCCACTGACTTCCCAGCACATTTGGAATAAAAACTGAAGTCCTCATGATGGCTTTGAAGCCCAGTATTATTTGGCTCCTCCTCCTCTCTGCCCTCATCACCCATCACTTGCTCCCTCATTCATTCTGCTCCCTCTTCTTGGTCTCTCTGCTCTTCTTGGAGCACCCCTTGCCTTCTCTTTCCTCAGTGCCTTTGCTCTTGCTGTTTTTCCTGCCTAGAACTACCCTCCCTGGATATCACATATAACCACACTATTCACTCCCTCACTTCCCCTGGTTTTCTGTTCAAATGTCACCTCCTCAGTCCACCCCATTTTGATAAGCACTCTGCTGCCCTTCAAGCCATTACCCTGCTTGATTGTTATTTATAACACTTTCTGCTCCCTTAAACACCATATTATATATATTTATTTTCTGTCTTCCCCATCACAATGTAAGCTCCCAAGAATAGGAATTGTATCTTTTCATTCTCACTGCTGTAAAAGTGTCGGTTATATAAGAGGTGGCCAACCCTTACTGAAATAATTACTAAATGAATGAATGAATGAATAAAATTTGGTCAAGGCCACATAGCTAGTAAGTGGCACTTGGAAGTAAAACCTAGGTCTGTCTAATGCAAATGTACACAATCCTACCTGCTGTTACACAGCTCCTCCAGAACTACCTTGTGATGTGGACACCATGGCTTGCCTCATTTAGCACAAGGGAAAGCAAAGTTGGGGAGGGGAAATAACCCCCAACCCCTGTCACATAGTAAGACAATGGCAAGATCAAACTACATCTGGATTCAAGTACCAGGTGCAGCCAGAGGCAGGCACATGACCTAAGTGTCTAGGAGAGGAAGTTTCAGGAGTCTGTTGCTGACATTGCACTGTCCATGGGCACTGACCACAAAGGCTTCTGGGAAGGCTGGGTTCAAACTGCATTTCAAGCTGTTTTGTGCCTCTCTGCCTTCGCCCAGCTGTCCCTGCCTGGAGCGCCCTTCTTCCCTGACCTCCCCAACTCCCACTTATCCTTGGAGGCTCAGCTTCAGCATCACCTCCTCCAAGAGGTCTTCTCTAACCCTGTAGATCCCTGAGTCCAGCTCTATTGTGGTATTTGACTAACAATGAATAAATGAATGAATGAATAGCACTTACCCACTTTTATTCATTCATGCAACCATAAATATCTACTGAGTTCCTTCTTTGTGCCAAGCACAGAGAATACTACTGAGACAGGGACCGTGGGTATAGTCAGAGTAGGGTAAGGGCCTCTGGAAAAAGACCCCTATGAAAACTCCACATTAAACAATTAAGCAAAGTCAGAGTCACATTAATTCTCTAAAGTAAAATGTCAAACTAGGAATATAAGCATTCTTCAGTGAGATTAGTTAAAACTAAAAGCCAGGAGTAACTTGGCCTGGAATGTTTGAACATCCCCCAGATAAGAAAGTACCTCAGCACAGCCCATGTCTTCATTGTGTCAGTTAAATGAAGCTATTGTAAAATTTACTTTAACCTGCTAAAAGGCTCAGCTATCTTCTTTGACTTTGCCCAGATGCTGCTTTTCCTCCTTCAGCCCTAATCAAGTAATATATAACCTGGGTGATTAATATAGCATGCGGGCCCAGTCACAAACAACATAATAAAAGGCAGGAAGGATTCCACCGTAAAGATAAGATTGCATTTTTAACACCCAGGAAGTTAAGAAGTAAGATTCTTAACTTACTCTTACAAACAAATAACCCAACCCACCTTGGGAGGCCACAGTCAGTCTTGATCAATGTGCTCCCAAACCAAGAAGCTGCTATTCTGGGAAAGAATCAGAGCAGTACATTTCTTGTGTTAACTCTGCAAAATAGTCCAGGAAACTGATAAGAAACTTAGTGTCTCTTCAAAGATAAACGTTTAGAGACCATTTGGTGAGTCTGCATCCCTAGTGCTTTTCTCTTAACCACCTGTAAATCCCCTAGACAATGCACCCTTGTCCCCTTCTGGCGTGAGCCAGGAGCTCTGTCCTCTCACTGTATGTCTCAATAAAAGCCTCTCCCTGGCTCTCCTACCTTGACTGTTCGCTAAGTTCATTCTTCTACCCCGCAAACAAGAACCCCAGCATCACTACCATAGGTGCCTGCCCTTAAGGGCCTTGCAGCCTACGGGGACACAGACATCACGGCAGACAGAAGGGCATGTGACCTCACTGCCAGTCAGCAAGTGGCTTCCTGAGGACGTGGATGTAACCTGAGGATCTACCGCGAAGTTGGAGTTAGCAAGCCTTTAGAGGAGCAGAAGAGAAGTGTTCTGGGCAGAAGGCTGAGAAGAGCAGATGTTCAGCACAGCTGGAGTTCAGAGCACCAGTGGTAGGTAAAGAAGGGTCTGGGAACCTCAGCGGGGACCTGACACAGGAAATACTTTTCCAGCTGAACAGAGCACGGGGGTGAGATCAACCTGATGGAGGAATCAGTGAGCAGGTGGGGGTGGGGCAGACTCTCGGTTTGGGCAGAGCTGGCCAGGAGGATGCCTCCCCCGCGGTACGCACACCCTTCCTGGGCTCCTCATGGTTCCCGGATCCTCAGGCTCCTCTCTTTCCTACTTCTGGAGGAAGGGGGCAAGCAGAGACTCAGCACCCTTCAGGCTCTACCATGTAGGCGACCACTGGCAGGGATTACTTGGAGACTTGATCAAATGGCTTCGTATTGATTTGTTTATAGCCAGAAGGAAATCTGGGCCTTCCAAGATCCCCAAAAGGTCCATTCAGAAACTGACAAAGCAAGCGTTTGGCCTTTGGTAGACTTGGCAGCTAATCTCATTCTTCCTCGCTGACTGACATTGGTCTAGTTATTTCATTTCTCTGAGCTCCAGTTTCCTCATCTGTAAAAATGAGCAGGATAAAAATATCTATCTACTTACAAGGTCGTGTGAGGAGTAAATGTGATATAATTCCAAGAGTGAGGATTCCTCCCCTGCCCACCACTACCAATTTGACAAAATAAGTTAAAAGGGTAAAATCCACCCGAGTGGTCTGTTTGGGCCCAGCCAGAACTTCAGCCTTGAAAGTCCGAGGCTTCCAGAAGGCCGTATCGGAAAGGGAGGAGTGGGTCTTGGAAGCAGATGTGCCAGCCTTGCCCTGCTCCTGACCAGTGGGACCCCACCACCACACCCCAGTCCTCTTGGTGCTTGATCTGCAGTCCGCTTTCTGTAATGAAGACTGAGACAAACTCAGATGTGAGCTGCAGTTCGGCCGTGTGACCTGAGCCAGGCCACACAGCAGAGCCTGAACGCCCTCGGCTCTAGAGCAGGCACCCTCTGGCCCTCACAAAGGGTCGCTGCCCCCAAAGCGTAAGGAACTGACCGTCTGGCCTCATAAATGTTAGCTGTGCAGTGCCCAGGACAACCATCCTCCCTCTGGAACTGCAGTGTCCATGCCTGTCCTGTGGCCTCTGCAGGGCTGTGTCGGGGTACGCCTCTAGGCCTTGGGGCCCAGCACAGGCAGACACTGAAGAACAGGGGGGGCTGCTGAACACTGAACCTGAACATTGAACGGGAGGCCTCGGCCCGGGAAAGGGGCACCTGGGTGGGGAAGGAGCACTTACAAACCATCCTAGAGTGGTGTCCCCACGTCCAGCAGCAGGGGCCCAACTGGTGACCCAACTGGAGAGTGGGTTGCGGAGAAACCACTCCCACTGATGAATGATGTGGGTGCTCTAGCGGGGTCAGTCTCTGGCCAGGGCGTTGGGTGTGGTCCCCTCTGGTCCTCCCCGCACATTATCTAGTTTAACGTCTTCATCCTGTGAAGTAGGTATTGTATTCTCCGCATTTTATAGAGGAGAATCTAGGCTCAGAGAGAGGCGGTGATCTGCCCAGGCCCGGTTTCCTCGGGTCGCCCCGACCCGGGCCTTTAATCCCAGGCACCCAGTGCGCCGCCGTCGGCTCCGCTGGGCCCGCGCTGCCTTCCGGGCCGCGGGGCAGGGGCGGGGCCGGCTCAGAGCCTCGCGGGCGGCTGGAGGCGAGCCGCGGGCCATGGAGCAGGGGGGATGCAGCTACCAGTTTCGCATCGCGCTGCTGGGGGACGCGGCCGTGGGCAAGACGTCGCTGCTGTGGCGCTACGTGGCAGGCGCGCCCCGGACACCGCAGCCCGAGCCGGATCCGGATCCCACGGTGGGCGTCGAGTTCTACAGCCGCAAACTGCAGCTGCCGGCCGGGCCGCCCGTCAAGCTGCAGCTCTGGGACACCGCAGGCCAGGAGCGCTTCAGGTGCGCGGGGACAGGGGAGACGGGGGTCTGAGGGGTCAGCTGCCTGGGCCCAAGTAAAGGGCTGGGGTCCCTGCCCTGGGTCTCGGGTCCTTTGCGCCGTGTCATTCATCCGACAGAACACAGCCGGGTGGGCCAAGCCCCTCAGCCAACGCATGCCTGAGACCTGGTGCCCACCCCAGGGGAACACTCAGGCCTGGCGCCGGAAGGGGGAGGTGCACAAGGACACAGAAACCTGGAGGGACGAATGACCTGGGTGTGAGAGAGCCCACAGGAGCCAGCGAGGGATGTGAAAGAAGAGAGATTTGTGTTGGCCCTGAAGGATGCATAGGAGTCTGCCATAGAGAATGGGAAGCTAAGCCCCGCAATCAGGAAAACATCAGTCTTCCTCCAGGAATAGAGGAATAGTCAGGAGAGTGTGTGAATTAAACTTGCTCCCTAAGTGGGGGGTGCACATTCTCATTGGAGAGAATCAGACACCAGCAACAGAGAAGTACAGGGCAGTGTGAAATGAGCTGAGGGGGTTGGGGTGGGGGATGGGGGTGGGGTGGGGAATTTAGGCAGTTACTGGATGCTGGGGATGTCCTGCCTCTGGGTAGGGGGTGTTTGAAGGCATAAGCCTCTCCCCACCCCCATCAGGTGCATCACCAGGTCCTTTTACCGAAATGTGGTGGGCGTCCTACTGGTCTTCGATGTGACCAACAGGAAGTCATTTGAACACATCCGAGACTGGCACCAGGAGGTCATGGCCACTCAGGGCCACGACAAGGTGATCTTCCTGCTAGTTGGCCACAAGAGTGACCTGCAGAGCACCCGCTGTGTCTCTGCCCAGGAGGCAGCGGAGCTGGCTGCCTCCCTGGGCATGGCCTTCATGGAGACCTCAGCCAAAAATAACTGCAATGTGGACCTGGCCTTCGACACCCTGGTGGATGCCATCCAGCAGGCCCTGCAGCAGGGGGACATCAAGCTGGAGGAGGACTGGGGCGGGGTCCGGCTCTTCTATGACACTCCAATCCCCAGGTCCCCCAGCAGGAAGCAGCATCCAGGCCTGTGCCAGTGTTGACTCCAGGAGGGAAGGGCTAAAGCAGTGCCAACCTCAGAAGTGGTGGGATGGGGAGTATGTGGATCTCTCTGGAGGACAAATGGCACAATGTATCCGAAGGGTTATTATAAACAATAGCTTAATGCAGCCACGCCTTTTGGATTTGGGGCGGGGGTCACAGAGCTCAGCACTCTTCTGGCAGAAAAGGCCTGAGAGGCCAGGTGTGCAGCCTGGTTCCCAGTTGCCAGTGGGGCTCATAAAAGACCTCACCCTCTCAGGGGGTCGTGGGCGTGAAGTGGTAGTGGATGGGATGTGCCTGACGAGAGCTGGCCACACAGCTCGAATTCGATGAAAGGAACTGTCATCACCACTCTTTCCTCTCTGGCTGGGATGTGGCCATTTCTGGGAAGTGTTCCTGGGCTGGGACGCTGAGGTGCTCAGCGTCTGGACGCTGCTGCCCAGGCGAGGACAGGTGCAGGGAATTTCAGGGTGAGCCTGCCTCAGAGTCCCCTTAGGTCCTCACGCTTGGATGAGTCTTAACTGGCCCTCAAATCCAGGGTTGCTGCACGCTGCCCCTACTCCAAGGCCAGGGCCTGGATCTGGACCTGGAAGGCCGGGATGAACACGAATGAGCAGCTCCCTTGTTGGGTACACAGTAGACACTGTGATTAGCCACCAAGATCCCCTTCAGGGCCAAAGACCCTATAGTGCTGCCCCCCCACCCCCCTCCTTTCCCCCAGCTGCTGGGAGGGTTGCCAGATGATGGAGCGCAGCTCACAGCACCCTCTGGGGACTGCGCATCCCTCACAGCAGCCCATATCCACCATCAATTAGAAGCAGGGGTGAGGGGTGTGGGGGTGTTCAAAGGCCTGCGCCAGCTCTGCACAACTCTGAAGGTCAAAGCCAGCTTCATCACTCTCCCTGGGATTGATTGAAGCCATTTTTGGGACAACATCAGAGCTAAATTCTCCCTCTGTTCAGTCCTCCTTCCTTCTCTTCCTCCCCACAACAGTTACTGATTTCAAGAATCCCCTAATAAATGTCTGCATACTAATCTCCATTTCAGAATCTGCCCTCCTAGGGAAATATCCTGCCACAGGAATTGCTAGGCAGAGGCAATCAGGGAAGGCTTCACAGAGGAGATGGTGTTTATATTGGGAAGGTTCTCAATAGGTGTAGAGAGGGTGTCTTGGGGGTCTCATTGCACCAGCGGGCATGGAAAGGGCATGGACAGTTGACACAGCTAAAAGCACACAACCACTCCCTCACTTGTGACCTGGGGCCAGTTACTCCACCACCTTGAATCTCACATTCCTCCTCCTCACACAGGGTAATCCCTCCTTCCTAGGGTTCTTAGTAGATTTTCAATGGGATGAGTCTCTTCGCATCTTCCCCCCTCCACACCCCCGGGGCTGGGCAGGGGTGGGGTCTCCCTGTGCCCTGCCTCCTCTCTGCGCCCTCTTTTAAAACATCACCACTCATCCTTATGATGCTCTTGGCAAGGCCGGCATGATTCTCCCCATTTCACAGATGGGAAGCTTGGACCGGGAGAGGGAAACAATTTGCTTAAGAGCCCATCATTCCTTCATCAAATTTTTCTCCTTTCAATGAGCATCTAACTCTGTTCTGGGTTCTAGGGATACAACAGTGAACATAACAGAAAAGCCCTCCTGGGGCTGATATTCTGGAGGAAGAGAGAAAAAACAAACACTCGAACTAGGTGATTTCCAGTTTTTCCAGTTGTGTTAGAGACCACAGATCTGGGCAATGAGACTGAGAATGACAAGGGCTCTGTGAGAGCAGAGGTCAGGGAGGGCCTCTCTGAGGAGATGACCTTCAAGCTGCGCCTGGAGGAGGAGCCAACCTAGGAGCAGAGATCTGGGCAGAAGGAACTGCACTGAGTGCTTCTCAGGCACCATGAGAGGTAGGGACTATTATTCCATTTTACTCATATGCAGACTGAGGCCCAGAGAGGTGAAATGAAGCCAGGAAGTCGGGAGTGGGGGTGAACAAGGCAAAAAAGAACGGGCATCTTTCTAGGAATTTACAGGGAATCTGAGCAGCTAGAATGAAGGAAAAAGCAGGGAGTGACCCTTGTGCTTTCTAGTCTCCCAGACCTTCCCTGTACAGGTCTACACTGAACCTTGTTTGGGAGATAGGGGTAGGATTTTGCTGTCAAATGCTCCAGATAAATCCCCACATCCCTGGAGAATAATCTCCTCCCCTCTCAAAATCCTGGTGGGGCCTCGGAGAACCAGCCTGAAGCCTCTGCCCATCTGGGTCCATCTGCAAGGAAGAGATGTTGCATTGTCCCAGCTGCCTCCCCTGAGGAATGTGCAGCAGGCTGGAGTCACACATTTCTCTAACTCTCCGCCTCGGTTTTCCATCCATAAAATGGGGATAACAATAGTTTTCATCTCATAGGGTTGTTGTGAGGATCAAATGCTGCATAATGTGAATTCCTGCCACATGTATGAGCTCACACAATGAGCTGTTTCTACTGCTTAATTATTATTATTTCTATGGCTTATTATTAACTGCAAAGCAACCCTGTGAGATTGGGCTGATCTTGTCCATTTCAGACAGAGATCTAAAGTCCAGGACAGGAAACTGATGTGGCTCAGTTGGTGATCCCAGGCCAGCTCAGTATTCCAGTAGCCTTGGTCACTACTTCTGGCCAGGCCAGGAAGGTCCTACCTTACGCCTTAGGGCTCTGATCCTACCCTCACAAGACCCTCAGTTGTGGCAAAGCTTTTGGAGGCTGTAAGTGGCTTTGGTCGTGTGATTCTGGCCAGGTGTAGGAAGCAGCCCTGCCCAGCCTGCTGACTAGAGGAGAGCAGCAGTGGGTCGGGAGGAGACCAAGGAAGGCAGGCCTCACCTCTTACCACTGTTCAGAAGCAGGCCTGCTCTCCAGGGGGCAGGCAGGTGCCACACCCAGTCTGCCGTTGCCCTCAGGTCAGGCCCCCTGGTCTCAAGTGTAGATTGTGCCACCCTCTTGAGGGTCTCAGGTCTCTGGGGTGTCCCCTGTGGTTCAGCAATTCATATTGCCCCAGAGGGATCTTTTTAAAGTACAGATTTGACCTGGCTGCTCTCCTCCTAGAAATCCTTCACTGGCTCCCCGTCATCTACAGGGTCACATCCAAATCCTCTCTGCCCATTCCAGGCCCTTCCTGAACTGGCACCTGCTGCTTCCCCACACACTTTGTCCTGACAAATTCAGAAGTTCTTGCAGCCCTGGGCTCTGCACAGCTGTTTCCTTTGCCTGGATGGCCTCACCCGCTCCCCTCTCCCTGTGTTGCCTCGTATGCCTGTAGCACTTGGATAACAATCAGCTCCTCTGAGCCATCAGCTTATCCCAGCTGCCAAAAATAAGGCAGGCTTGGCAGTCAAACCCGGGTTTGAAGCCCAGCTCCACTGTGTATAATTGTGAGACCCTGGGGAACTCACTTCATCTCTCTCAACCTCAGTGGACTCATCTGTAAAATGAGGACAATAATACCTACCTCACAGGATCTTAGAAAGGATGAGAAATCACAGGCAGTGCTTGTCAAACAGGAATACAAAAATGGAAGCCCCCTTCCTCCCAAAGGTTTTGCTATTAATCACTGTAACGGAACAGAAACTACTGAAGTAAACACGTTGGGGAAATAAGGATTCCCAACTCTAACAAAGTACGTAAAGGCTGTCACCTCTCTGTGGAGTTGTGGACTGGGCCCTGCTTTTTTACCAAGGGTGAAATTCCAGAATCACCTCTTCGGGCCTGTCCCCAGACTGTTCTGGACAAGCAAAGCTCTCTTGGCAAGGTGGCACCCTGGCTAATCCCTCCAGCCTTAGCAGCTTCCACAAGGTCAGCGCCCTGGCCTCTGGGCCTTACTGAGCTGCTTCCTCATTCTGAAAACCTTGCAGTCTAGGTCTGAATCCATCCCCTTTGCCCTTCAGAAGGAACAGAGCAAGTCTGTCACCCATGAGACCCTTTTTGGGAGCTACTTAAACCTAGTTCATGTACAGAGAAGACCCATCCTGCCCACCAAGGGGCTGGGACGGAAGACATCTGGTTGGGAACTCAGTCTGTTCAGTCTACCTCTGAGCCTCAGTCTCTTCATGAAGAAAGAACGATTCCCACCTCACAGGTTTGTTAGACGGATAAACATGACGATGTGTGCTAACTGCTCCATAAATGCCAAGTTTCTTCTGCTAATAAGCCCCCTTTGTGTCTTGCATGTGTTGTTCCCTTGCCTGGAATGTCCTTCCTCCATCTCTGTCAAAACGCTACTCATCCTGTAAGGTTTGGCCCAACCTCATATAACAATTCCTTCTCTGAGTTTTCAGGGCACTTGAGTGGCTCTCTTCTTCAGAGGGTTCAAGCTCTGTTGTTTGTATCTTTTTGCACCCCCTGGACTGTAGCTCTTCAAGACCAGGGTGTCTTTGAGGATGGACCCCCATGAGAAGGTTGGAGCCTGGATCAAGAGCACAGACCTGAGTCCTAGCCTTCCCAGCAGCCTTGGAGAGGTTACATGACCTGTCTGGACCTCAGTGTTCTTTCCTGTGAGATGAGCTACAATTGGATAACTCCAGGGGCCTTTTCTTTTCTAACTAGAGGTGACTAAGACCTTAGTCCAGCTCTGCCCTCCTCGCTTCACCTCATGCACGCACAGGGGACGCTCTGCAGGATGGCTTCCTGGTCCACAAGGCTCCTTTTGTGTTCTCAAAACTCACCCTTGTTGCAACCACCCCCAACCCTGCTGTTCGGTTTGTTCTTTCTCAGGAAAACCTCTCGAGCCTTATTCCTTTACCTTTAGTCCAAATTAACTACAAGTTCCTGGCTGGTCCCCCTCCTGCCTACTTTGGACTCTAGTCTCCACACCGGCAGCCACTGGCTTTCGACATCAAATATACTTGCATCAGTCCTCCATCCAAAATGCGACTGCCTCTCCATTACCTGTACAGTAGTTTTCAAACTTTTTGTCTATATGCCTGTTTTTAGCATCAGAATCCTCTTGTCAAATGGATCTTTCTCATAGCCCTACAATGTCCAACAATTAAGAGAGAGATTGCTCAGGTTGAAGAGGGGTAGGAAGCCCAGAGCCAGGCTCCTGGCCCTCCCACCCCCTGCAAGATACGTGCCATGTGCACACTCTCACACACACACACACACACACACACACACACACACACACAAATAGTAGGCCCAAAGCAAGGCCCCTGGACTGCACCACTACTTTCTGCTTATCTCTGGCCATCCTCATCTAAGGTTTCACTTTGTACTTTCGCCATATTGACTTGCTGAGTTCTTAACACCGCTGGGCTTTTGCTTATGCTGTTCTCTTTCCTCAGTTACTGCCATCTCTGTCTCCACAGGACTCAGGGAGACAGTTTAGGGCACAGATGAGTACAGGCTCCGAGTCAAATGGTCTTAGCGGAAACCTCAGCACCTTTACTACCAGCTGTGTGGTCTTCAGTAAATTACATGAACTCTCTTAGCTTTCTCACTGGAAAATGGCATTAAATGAGATATTGCAAATAAAGTGCTTGACACATACTAGACATTCTTTCTTCTTCAGACTTGCTAGGAAAACAATGAGCTCATACAGGGAAAGTGCTTAGCACACACATGGACCCGGTAAGTGCTCAAGAAAGACCCTCCCAACACAAGCACACGGATCCACCAGCCTGCTCCACCTCGCGCTCCTCAGCCTGCGCTAAGTCCTCTGTGTGCTCAGCACTGTGCTAAGCTCTGAGAATCAGTCAAGTGGGAGTGGCTACTTAGCTGAGCGAGTTAGAGGGCCTCATGCCCAGAGTGGGGGACTGAGCTGTACCAGAGAGAGACACACCAAGTCAGAAGGCCCCTTACAGACCACTTGGTGACACTCCTCTCTCCTGTACCCCACCTCCACTCACCAAAGCCTGGGAGTGCACCACTTAAACGTCTTCCAAATCTACCCTTCCATCTGCTTGACTACTGCCTCCTCAATCCAGGCAGCAGCCTCCTGATAAACTTCCGCTTCCCCAGTCGCCTTTTCTCTTCCCCCTGCTCTGCACTGCTTGGCCAGAGTGATGTTTTCTTTTC